TGCGGAGGCGTTTCAAAGTTTATTCCAAAGTGGGCTGTGTAAGTGCTGGAGTGGACCATTCCATGTTGTCCATTAGAGCCCACCCATAATATCCCTTAACTCGGACACCCTTACTGCAATAAATGAAGAAAAAATATAAAAGCATGTATCATATTGATTTTTACTTTTTCTATAATTGGGAAAATTAGAATATTTTTTTAATATGTCATAAAAGTAAATTTGAGACTATTAATAATTCAAAAAACTTTTGCTGAGGTGGAGGTTTTAGAGGAATTTAGTCAATTGCCTTTTTAACATTCAAAAGGTGGAGAAAGTAATATTGTATCCTAAAGCTGGCTTGTAAAGCTTCTTTGAGTGATAAATTGGGATCATTTAATTCATCAATCCTTGAAAAAAAATAAGAAATATGGATATTAGTTGTTTGATAGGGTATAAATTGTACTATTTTATATGTGTAAATTGTTAGTTAATTGTGATATTTGAGCTATAATTTGAATAGAAACCACTTAATTTGATATTATGTTGTTCTCATAGTTAGAAAGCTCAATTTGAGATAAAATGGATTGGTTTTAGGAGTTCTGGAACAAGGTGAATCATGGGAAGGAGTAGGGGTGAGCAGCTTGATCAAAAACTTGACTCGAGCTCGGTAAAATCGAGCTCGAGTTCAAGTTCGAGCTATTCGTTAAATTTAACGAGTCGAGTTCGAGCTCAAGAAATAAGTACTCGAGTGCTCGCCGAGCTTAATCGAGCTTTCATATTTTATTTATATTATATATTTATATTATATATTTTTTAAAAAAATTATAGATTTATTTCAAAACTCGAGCTCAAGCTCGAGTAGCTCGGGTTTGATATTTACTCGAGCTTACTCGACCTCAAATGAGTCGAGCTCGAGTTTTGTTTTATTTCATCGAGTCGAGCTCGAGTTCAAATTTTTTTACTCGATCGAGCTCGATCGAGCTCAAGCTCGAGTAGCACAAATTTTAATCAAGTTCGAGCTCGAGTATGGTGCTACTCGAGCTCGACTCGGCTCGATAGCACCTCTAGGAAGGAGCACCAAGGGAAGCAAAAATGTGGACCACCTGGATAACAAGGATCCACGGACCGATCCCACGGATCTGTGTGTGGTCATTGAACTGATCATTGGGCTGGTCTTCCTTTGGTTCGAATGGCTTTTTAGCTTTGCCCAATGATAGGGGTGAGTCTTGATCTGGACATTCTCCGAAACTTCATGCGGGCTCATTTTTTTCGACTTTAAGAAATCTAATTCCATTTAATTCAGCTACAATTTTAGAAAGTTATAAACAGGGGTTATCTAGATCGTTTAAAGGGTTAAAAAACAACTAAACTAGATTTAGTTCATCTCTTTATATCTTCTTAAACCTTCTTCTCACGAGATTAAGATCCATGCACACGCGAATGAAAGAGAGATCAAGACGGAGATTAGAGCAAGGTAAATTGAGAATTTTTTCTTACTCTTATTTTCATATTTGTATTTACTCTTTGAATTCATGATTTTCCCTAGGTCTATGTTGAACTAATTTATTTCCAGGGTTAGGGTTTTGTGAAAGAGTATTGATTATTTATCGTAGTTAAATTCTCGATTTTTGCCTTGATTTATCTATCCTAATTTAATTTCATATTAATGCTTGATCACCATAGACATACTTTTAGGGAAGAAATATAAAACCGTGCACTAGATAGATAAATATTTAGCCGAAATACAAGAGTAGCTTAGGATTTCTATGGTGACGGGCTTTTGATATACGTACAAGTTAAAACCCGATTTATTTGACTGCAAGTATATAGGTCAAATTAGTAGTTTAGGGCGTGTATCGGGTTGATCCCACGAGAAAGATTAAACAATTACCGGTGTTACTAAAGCTTCTGTATTATTTAGACTATCAATAAAATATAAGAAATAAAACCTACTGAACTTATGCAAAATAACAATTGAAAACTCCTTAGGTTATGGTGTCCCTAACTACTCATGCAAGTGCTATATTTGGATCATCGAGTACTACTATCTAGGCTAGTTATGGTGTAATTTCTTTATGCATATGAAACCTACTTTCGTAGTAAATCAACTATACTTATAATTAATCCATACCTATTCTCATGATTATGAAATTAGCTACAAGTTCATTTCTTCAATAAAATTACATGAAATTAATCACTAAAACCACATATGTGCACCTCTACTCTCATGAGTGTACTCCTTATATTTAGCACTTCTTGAACCAGTGTTAAATCTCAATTTTCATTACAAAAACAACACGTTAGATAATCACAATTAATGGTACCAGATTAATTATGATTGAAAGAGCTAAAGTGCTAAATAGCTTGCTCAACTCATAGCAATCAAATAGCCAAATAATAAACACTAACAATCACAGAAAGTTCAACCAAACCCAAGGCATAAACTTTAAAGATACATAATAAACACAAAAGCCAGAACTTGCATATTAATCATATTTAAGAATCCAATACAAAAGATAAAGAGTTGGAGAAGAGATAACCCATGTTACCTGAGCTTCAACTCCTCCTTATTCATCTCCATCTTCATCCTAATCTAGCCAATATACAAGAGTGGATGAGTTATACTACTCTATACTAAACTAAACTAACACTAAGAAAATTGAAGAAATACATTTCTGTACTCCCAAGCTTTCTCCCGTATGTCCCTCCTTGAATCTTGCAAGTTTTTGGCTATATAAAGGTAAAAGGTGGTCAATGAATGAGGTTTACACCACCCTTTTACAGCTGCAAAGTGTTTGTCACATGTCTAGCATTACATGTGACTTATTGGAGGTGAAATCAAGTTATCCGCATAAAGAGCAGCCTTTTCTGACCACAATCCGGCCAGAAATCCGGCCAAGTTCCGGCCGGATTGCTACAGTGACCTTTTTGTGCAATTTCTGTTCAAACTTCACTACTGCTCCAATTTTGCCTCAAATTCAACTGAACTGTTCTTGATAATAGAAGATGAATTAACTCTTGACCAAAACATAAAACTTGTAACCCTTTGAGTTAGCTTTTCAATGCATCAAGAATCACCTCATTAGGATTTGTGTAGGCTGAGAAATGACTGAAATACCTTTAACTGCTCAATACCCTGTTTCAGCTTCGACCAATAGAAATTGACTACTGTAATTCAGTTTTTTGACCTAGAAAACCTTAGAACTGGATTTCGGTGTCTTCACCAAAGTTGTAGGTCTATCTCTTATTTTCAAATTAGTTCAAGAATCATCTCAATCCGATCACTATACCTCAAGATATAGCTGAAATACGAAAATGTGTCAAAGCTGTCAAAATGTACAAAATACAAGTAAAAAGTGATAAAATCTCATTTAATCACTTAAGATCATTTTTCACCAATTATAGCCAAAATGATTCATTTTCTTCCAATAATATAACCAAAGTGACTAAAAATAATATAAAATGTTATTCAATTATTATATAAATTAATCACTCATCATATGGTGTAATCAAAATCACCAAAAATTTAAACGGGTCAAATCAAATACTTTTGATCTCCAGAGAGGCGTAAGGTTTAATGAGTACAATTTAGATTACCAAGAGATAATCTAAAATATTTTTGTGTGATATGTTCTTGGCCTGTTAAAAAAATAACTAAATAATTAATTCAACCTCTAGATGAAAATCTAAAACTCTAGTCTCTTGCCAATTGTTTTCTCACACTTATCTCCTCTGACTTGATTATTTATTTTCCTCCATATTTAGCTAAAAAAAATTCCATTGCGATTTGAATTTTATTGTTTTCTTCTAATAATAATTAAAGTATAGGAAATTAACTTGTCCCTATGGATTCAACCCCTAGAATACTTCACATAATTTTATTATTACGATCGATTCTATATACTTGTAGAAATCGTGGATCATTGTTAATTACTATCCATTTCCAGTGTCACAATTGTTCATAATGTGGATTAGCACAAAAGGAGTGAATAACACGGGATTACTTTGAAGTTTGAACTTTATTGGAGTATGCATGAAGAATTTCTCCTATTCAATGGAAAGGAGTCTAGTCCATTCTATTTGCACCTGAGTGCAAAAAAGGGATTTTCAAAATGGACTTCCAAATATTTCAGAAATTCAATAATAGCTTCAAAGGATGTTCAAGATTTTCTTCTATCACAACCTAATTTAAATAAGGAGTCCATCACTTGAAAACTGTTGGTGATTTCTACTTATATCTTTATAATACTTTCGATTTTGTACTTAATTCTCTAAACTAAAGTGGAAATTTTTTGTGTTTCTTCTGGTTTGTTTGTAATCAATATTGGCCAATGCTTATAGGTTTTACAGTTAACCATGGTCAAGATAATTGTCACAAATGCCAAAAGTAATAGCACCTTGTGGAGAAGATTCTAACTCACCAACCAAACATGAGTGGATTTGAAAGAGTAGAAAACCTGATGGTGTTTCTTGTATAACCCTACTACTTCAGCAGGAGCTAAATGCTGGTGATGTTCTGCCAAATATAGTTTGGTGCTTGAATCTCCACCTGTACAATTATTTTGCGTCCAGCCAGAACATCGACCAGGGACAAAAGCTCCAATAATGTTGTGCCAATACAAAGTGTTTTATTAGAAATTTGGGATCATATTTATCGTATATTTAATTCAATTCACATATTATTTCATCTAAAAATTTCTAGTTGTAATTGCTTAAACTTAAAGGACCATAATGATTGAAACTCAAATTATTAGGGAGCTGAGTGATATTATGAGAAAATTCAGTTGGATTAGCATGATTTGCATTCTTAAAAAAAAAAGTAATAATATTGATTAACAACTAGAGGTCTTACAATTCATTCCACTTCATTCTTCAATTATTGAATCAAAGCATAGAAACTGAATTTTAAAAAAAAAGGCATAGAAACTGAATAAAGTTCGACAAATGTTATCTTTCACTTTGTTGCATCTTCGGAGTGGAATAGAGCTAAGCATGGCCGCTGCTGAATAATATGTGAACTTTTACTTGCGGAGGAATCTCTCAAACCAGTAAGAAGAGAGCTTACGGAATCTTTTTAAGGTACTATAGTCTACATAATTGATTCCAAAACGGACACTATATCCAGCACTCCACTCAAAATTGTCAATAATTGCCCATCCATAGTATGCCATCACTCTAACGCCATTTCTACATTTATATAAAACACAAAAATGAACAAAGTTTAGTGAAATAAAGCCCCATTAATGGGTTCAAAATATAAAGTTTAATTAACTTGACCAAGTAATTTGTTTAATGATTTTCACTGACGTATTAGGAGATACTCACTTGATTGCTTTTCGGACATACTGAAGGTGCTGATAGTAGTATCGGATTCTAAAGCTGTCTTGAAGAGCTTGCTTAAGTGGTAATGTGGGATTATTTACTTCATCAACCCCTGAAACAATAAGATATAAATTGAGATTAATGTACATTGGTAGAGTAACATGTAGGAATGCATGTGGTATCAATTATTCTTGTGATTTGATGAAAATTACATAGAAGAAGAAGAAGAAGAAGCCAAGTTGAAGCAGCCTGCATAGTCAATTTCGAAATTTGCATGGAGTTATACAAAATATTTTCAAAATATCAATTGATTTATTAAAATTCAACAGTTGGAACTTGGTAGATATAATATAATTGTACGCTATTAAAAGATTTGAATTACCTGTGCGCCAATGAGCTTCCCATTGCGGCTCGCTGACATTATAGTGCGCAACATTAAGTTATTCAAAATTTAATAATAAAAATAAATAATGAATAAATTTCTGGTAAAATGTTTGCAAAATTTGAAGCTATATATCCTGCAAACTGAACTAAACTCACCTGTAACGTTAACTTGCGGGTCTGTGCTATAGCTTAAATTCACCTTATTTGGAGGAGTTGTAACATGGGCAGCATAACTAGCTGTGTAGTAATTTAATCCAAGAAAATCATATGACCCTATCAGTTCTTTAGATTGCTTTGATGTAAATTTGGGAAGTCGGTCGCGGGCAAGAATTCTCATTGAAGCGGGATAATCACCATATACCAAAGGGTTCATAAACCTGTAACACATGCCAATAGAAAATAGGTGTCAATATCTAGCCAAGGTAATCATTGAATGTAGTGTTTTATTGAATAGGTGATAGCTAGGTACGCATGCACTCTTTTGTTGTTTTTGGCTAACCCTGTTTACGGGGACGGACACCACTCCAAAATTTATTCATAGAACGTAATTTTACAAGAGGAGTGTGAGAACCCGTATTTTTTTTCCCATTTTTTAGGTTTTATTATTTTCCGTGGCATGTTTTCTGCATTTTCGTGAGTAGGAAAAATTTTAGATAATTCTAAGGGGCAGATATAGTTTTTAGATGATTTTTCTCGTATCAAATGGATTTTGAGAAATTAATAGCGTATACCGGACGTGGGACCCACTAGTGCGAAAAGTTCGGAAAAATTCGGCCAACTAGGTTAAGTTTTGAATACTGGAATTAATTTACCGGGTGTTAAGAGATAAGTAGAGGGTGCTAAGTGGATTGATATAAGAGAGACAAGGTTGGTGAACATTTATTTAAAAGGTGACAAGTGTCACCATAAGAGTTAGTCTTGTCATTTGACCACTATTCATGCCTTTACCAAATTAATATCAAAATTGACCAAAAAATTCACCATTTGTTTCTCTTCTTGGCCGACTTCTTTCAAGCACAAAGGAAAGAAAACTCTCCACAATTTTGGTCTCCAACCTTGCTCAATCTCCAACTTCAACCGGTTAAATTTGTAATTGCTCCATAAAACTCCTCCACTTAGTGATTTTGAGGTGATTGGTGAAGTTATTTGGAAAGTTAAGGTGACCAATAGCTCTCTCTCTCTTGTTTCTAAGGTAAGTTGTGAAGAACCACCCTCCTCCCTTAATTGATGCTTAAATCAGGCTTAGTGGTTGTATGAGATGCAAAGTTATGGGTTATTTCTTGATTTGTGGTTGAAGTGATGAAGTTTTATTATTTTTGGGGATTTTTCTATTTTAATATAAGCATGATTGTGTGGCTATCTATGATGATTGGAAATGGCATATAAGGCATCTAGAAGGTGGAAAAAGTGGAAGATTGCAAGTAATTTCTGTTTTGGAAGAAAATTGAAAAACCTAGGGTTCATGAAGCTACATTCTGCCCGAATTTTTAGGTCCTAGTTAGAGGCCGAATTGGCCTTGGCTTAAAACATGAAAGTTGTAGGGAATGACATTTTAGAGGTGTCTACAAAATTTCAGGTCAATCGGAGTAGCGTAGAGTGAGAAAAGTCGAAATTACTATTGCTGTTCTGGTTTTACCCGAATGTAAGAATTGCGCCTGTAATTGGTTGTTTTGGCTGGAATTGTTTCCGAATTGGTTGTTGAGGCCTTCTGATGAAATTTAGCCCTGTTTCTTAGATTTCAGTTGGTTTTGGAATTTCTGGATTTGGACTTGGAGAGCCTGAGTTATGATGTTTCCGCTAGAATGCGTTTTGGTGAATATGTTTTACGTTTTTGATGTAGTATCTTGCATTTTGACCTGTTTTCACTCAAAAATGGGTTGAGTGACCTTCTGTGATGTTGTAGCCCTGTCTTTTAGCTTCGAAATGGTGGGTCTTGCACCCTCATCCGATAATCGTAGTGAAATTGGTGCCATTACCGCAAAATGAGGACAAAAACTGTTTTTTTCAGGGCCAAAGCTAGTTACATTTCCGAAATTTCTGGTTTCCTTTAATGTTCGTATATGCTTATGGAACCCTATTGGGGTCATGTTTGGCCTTGGTTTATGACTCGTTATCGAGTCTAATTGTATTTTTTTGCATGTTTTAGGACGTGACCGTGGTGCACAACGTTCTTTTGACGGAAGTGCATGAAACCACATTTGCTAGCTTGGTGAGTGTACTACTCACTTGTGTGCTATTATATGGCTTTGATATTTGAACTTGAGATGTTGAATGTTAATTGATTGAAGTGAGAGTGTACTTTATCACTCTCACTTATTGTTTCGCATGTTATTGAAAAGTTATTGGAATTGTATATGAAATGTTATATGAAATGAAATACATGATTTGGTGTCGTTTGGACGAGTCTCCAACGACTACAAATGTTCTCAATGAGCTCAACCCCATTGGTAATTGATTGAATCGAGCCGGCAAGGGCTTGGTCGTGACAATTAATGAGCCTTGGGTAAAGTTATAAGGAATCTTGTAGTATGAGAGACTCTCGATTCCGGTATACTCGAGTAATATCAAAGTGCAAGTGTTTGGAGTTCGGGCCCGGTAGGGGTATGTTGGGTGGAAGGAATGGAAGTAAAGTGAAGTCTACGGTTGGTTACTTTCAAACATTGACGGAGAGTCAATGAGAAGATGATCTGATCAAGAATGCAAACGAGGAAAAGGGCTCTTGAGAGCCGTCCGTATCTTTTTATCACCATTATTGTGTGCCTGTGTTTACTTTTGATGAATTGAAATGAAAAGTTTTATGCTCATGTGAACTTTGCTGTTTGAGTGGTATTATCTCACTGGGCGTAAGCTCACCCTATTCCTTTTGTTTTCCTTACAGGAAAATAAATACTTTTGGACTGCAATTGATAGTTGGTTGCCGAATTGAGCTAGTTGGACATATCTTTTGTATAGCTCATTGATTGAAACCCTAAATGTACTTTTGGGTCCATTTCTCTTTTGATTTGGCAAACCATCCATGTATCCACTTTTGAATACTTTTGTATGCCACTTTGGATTGTAAATGCTAAATTTCAAGATGTGAATGTTTGCTTGATATTTGGTTGGGGTCTGACGGGTCAGTTACTATTCATGGCTGACTCCGATTTCATTTTTTTTTTATTATTTTGACATTTTGACTTGTTTACGCGCGTTGTATGTTCCGGAACGCAATAGATCGCTCTAACTGCACCGTTAGTCCTGGCGAGAGTTGGGCAGGCAATCCGCTAACCCCTTTGGTTCGCCTTAGGGGAAAGTGGGGTTGTCACAAGGAGCACAAGACGTTTCCTCATGTTGAATATAAAAATTTTAAGAAATCTTGATCTTTCTAACAGAAAGCATTCCTAATATTACACGAGAATATTAATCTGTGTACGTGGGGCATTTCTATAGGTAAGTGTTAAAATGGGGACTAATACAAGAAGTTAACATCCTACATAATTATAGTATGTGGCTATCTAATTTGTAAAGATGGTGAAAATAAAGGTTATTCCAGTCTTCAAAAACTCTTTGACATGCAGTAACTAGTTTAGCAAGCAAGTGATAAATTGGTCTTCAGTAAGAGAGTTTTGAGGTGTTATTACGAACAAAAACAATATATTTTTGAGTGTTCACATTCATATAATATTTTTATTTAAATTAGGTGCTCCATTGGGTGCTGGCTGCGCACCAATTGGGAAAAACACTATGGTCAAAGAGAATTTTACATTGGAAGATTAGGTATCCATTGGAAAGACGTTAAAGTAATAATAATAATAATAATAAATTGCCAAGTGAAGTTTTAAAATTGGAAGTTAGATGCTTGGACAAAATCATGTTGAACTAGTACAACTTAATTGTATTTAAGCCGAGAGAGCCTTCGATTTCCTAAAGCCTCAATGAGGGCCCAAAAAACTTCTTATTTTTTTCGAAAGGGCTTTTTTTTTTTTTTTTCTTTTCTGAAAGGCCATTTATATACATACTTTGTTAGCTATCTTCTTCATCAAACGTTTATTGGTACACTTACCATCCAAACATGAAATCAAGGGCACGAATGGCTGCTCGTTGATCAAGAGGTGAATTTAAAAATGGCACCATCCATGCAGTGACTAGTGTAATCCCAATTTGTCCTTTTTGGAGAGCCTAAAACATATGCACAATTCAATTAGTAATAGTAATTATGGAACTCAATATTGATTAGGATCAAATTCTATGTTAGTTTGAATTAGAAGTGCAACAATAACCTGATACACTCTCCTGTATAATTTAACTACATCAGCATGAGCCAAAAGTTGGTGGTGTGCCACCAAGTAGGGTTCTGTCCCTGAATTTCCACCGGTGCAGTTATTATTCATCCAAGCAGAACATCGACCAGGGGCAAAGGTTCCACTATCATAACCATTTGAACTAAAGGTCCAAGGTTCATTGAATGTGATCCAATCTTTCACTCGATCACCAAACCTCGCAAACAGTAGATTTGCGTAGTCATGAAAATCCTTTCTGGAAAGTATAAAACGTCATCAAATCCAAGAGCCAAAAGCATATTGACTCTTACAGTACATAGAACACTATCATTTGATTGCATAAATGATTTCTTGGGCTGAATTTGATAGAATAGGGCAAGTGAAGGTTGTCTTCTATTTGGTTCCAACCAGTTGTTATATTTGCTATAATATTTAGTGTGCGCAGAATCATGTTTTGCTATACTGGATATATGTGGAATAAACAAAATAAACTAAATTGTGTTATGTATGTCTATTTTTGCTCCTTTTTCGTTTTCCTTTTTTTTTTCAAAAATAAACTAGTTTGTGTTGTATATGTTGCTTGTTATCACTTCTAGACTAAATTATCACCCATGTTTAGAGTTCATTAATATCAATTAGGTTGTGATAGTAATATTATAGGAAGAGGGATCTTGACTTACATAATTTTAGGACTCACGAAGCTTCCATACTCTTCATCTAAGGCTTGGGGCAAGTCCCAGTGAAAAATTGTCACAATTGGCTTTAAACCTGTGCATTTCATATTTCAAAGATGTTGAATTAGATGATGAACACAACCAAATGATCAAGATCATATGGTCTTAAAAAGCATTGGATTTTTATATACCATAAGCTAGAATTTCGTCTATGAGCTTATTGTAGTACCCAATTCCTTTCTCATTTATGCCTTTGCTAATCTTGCCATCTGCAAATCATTGTATAGCTTAGTAACAATATAATATATTCCAATTTGGGTAAAATGGGTAGATAATAAACCGTCGCTAGATAAAGGTTTACATAGTGAGGCCTTACAAGGTATTACTCTAGGCCAAGAAATTGAAAAGCGATAAGAATCTGCATTCATTTCCTTCAAGAGTTTGATATCCTCCTGTCACATGAGAAAGATAGCATTGTAGACGTAGTTCAATTTTTTTTTTTGTGGCAATGATTGTAGTCAACGTAAATAAACAAAAATAACTGAATTTTCTTCTTTTTTTTTAAATAAGGTATATTTTTTGCGGGGCTTGTTGATTTTTGTGCCCTATTTTTCCATGTATGATATTTTCGCTTTACTATTAACTTATTTGAGCAAAAAGATTTGGTTTGCATTACCTTATATCGATGGTAGGAGTCTGCTGCCACATCTCCGTTACTACCATTTGAAATTTTACCTGTAGTTTCAGAATGGAGTTGGTCAGACTAGGCTATTAGTTTTGATAATTTTTTTTGGGCAACAATTTATTGGGATATGCTGAAAAAATTGGAGAAGGAAGAGTGGTAGTGCGAAACTTAATAGCATAGAACTGATTAATAATTAATAGGATAGATGGACCAATATATTAATAGCAATATTAAATTCTCAAAGTATACGTTTTTCATGTAAATAACTTGCCCAAAATTAAATGCCTTTAAGCCCTTGGCATTTTCACAGTGTTTAATCTATATCCTTGACCAAATTTGGTCATTTGAAGTATTAGAAGTGGTTCACATCTGAGCAAACTATATATGTGACCTTGTGTAAAAGGTTAAACGTAAACCACTAACCCATAATGCTTAAATCAAATTTTAATCACTTAGATGTGATTAAGTAATCTAACTCCTATTTGACCACCGAGAAAACAAGTTGAACCACTATCAAACAGTGTCGTTAAGATCAGAGAAAATATGGGGTGGATCAAAATGATTGTTGACCATGATGTATATGTATGGATCTTTCAATTCTGTTATGCAATGTATATATTCTGAAGTAATGAAGATCTGTGCATCAAAATGACTGTAAACCTGGGAATTTGTGAGTGAAAACATCCCAGTTGCTTGGACCTTTGCCATCAATGTTCCAAGCGCCTTCAACCTGTAAAAAAAAAAATTGAGAAAATCGTAATTATTCTCAGCGTTGCAATATTTGAATCCTTATTTCACTTCTAAACTTTTAGGAATGCTTACGGAGGAGGGAAAAAAAACAAAAGAAGGAGAAACATAATAAGAACTTTTTAGAGATAATTTAGTGATGGTAATGTTGTCCGATCGATGATTCCCTCTCTTACCTTCCAATACACAAAAATTTAATAATTAAAAAAAAATGAGGTACTATAACTAAATAGGACGAGATAAAATGAAGATTGAGAAAAATTATGGTTTGACCTCTTAAGCATAACAAATATTTTAGAACACCTAGGAATGAGAAGCATAACTGACTTAATGGGAACGAAAGCTAGAGTCTAGCATTACAATAATGACCTATTGAATGAGCACCTGAACTACATGCTTCTAATATCAAACTGCATACTCTAGTTGTGGATATTCTTAGCTTAAAAGTTTTGTTTCATATGTGCTCTTTTTGTGCTATATCTAAAAATAATAATCATGTTAGTTTTAGAGTTGGTGATTATGCGTTAGACATTATACATGATAAGGAATGGATCAATCCTTTGTGCTGTTGAGCACTTTTAGTAAAGAAATGAGGGCCTTTGACGGTGGTTTTTACTATCAATGCAAGTTTAATTCCGAATTTACACCCGTTGGACTGCAAGTATACAGGTCACAATTGTAGTACAAGATGTGTATCGGGTCGATCCCACGAGGAGCAATTTAAACAATTACTAAGCCCTTGTTTTCTCTATTATTTAGATTGACAATTAAATTGAGCAGAGAAAATATAATGCTGTAATCTACAAACCTGATCTACAAATCTAGTTTAACAAATGCTGAATGCAAATAGCGAAATTTCACTTAAGGAAGATTCTAGGGATGTAGATTTCACTTATGGCAATAAACAACACAAATTAATGGATTTACTTCTTGCTATTATTGACGTGCGCGGGGTATACATATAATATTAAGCTCATCCCAATCAAGTTTTACATTTATAAATTCCTAAATACCCCACACGCGATTTATCGCAAGTATACGAATCGTGAGCGAGTATAGGGTATTAAGGGTCGATCCCACAGGGAAGAATGCAATTACCGATGTTTTCAAACTCCTTTATTATTTAGACTACCACAAATATAAAATTTAAGAAAATAACACTAGAAAGCTCCTAGAGATATGGAATTCCTTACTACTCTTGCAAATGAGATTATCGGTTAAGTGAATGCTATTATCTTGACTAGTTATGGCGTAATTCCTAATGTATGTGAAACCTACTTTCGTAGTGAATCAACTATACTTGTAATTAAGCCATACCTACTCTCGTGGTTATGAAATTAACTACAAGTTCATTTCTTCTATGAAATTACATGAAACAAGTCACTTAAGCCACATAGGTGCACCTCTACTCTCGTGAGTGTACTCCCTAGGCTTATCACTTCTTTGAACTAGTGTTAAATTCCAATTTTCATTGCAAACTTAACACCTTAAGATTATCATAATTAATGGCCAGTTAATCATGATTAGATAACCAAAAGTGATAAATAACGTGCTCAAAATAATATCACCAAATAACCAAGTAAACCTCACAAACAAAATATAGCAAGTTCAACCATAACTCTAGGCATAAACTTTAACTAAACATAATAAAAACACAAAGCCAACTTGTATTATAATTAAACATGAAATCCAATACAAGAGAGAAAGTAGTAGAAGAGATATCACCCTTGTCACATGAGATCAACCTCTTCATCTTTGCCCCTCCAATATTCATCCAAATCTAACTACAAATACAAGATGGATAAACTACTCTACCTATACTATACTAATGAACCAAGGAAACTCTAGTGAAAACTACATTTCTGGTGAGTTTCTCTAGCCTTCTCCCCAGTTCTTTTAATCCTGTAAGTCCATGGCTATATATAGATGAATGCAATCAGGAAATGAGGCTTGAAACCTCCCTTTTACAGCTGCTAATTGGTTGTCATACGTTCATCCATAGCTGTAAATTGTTGAAGGAGAAAACAGGTTGTACCAGCAGCTATTTCTGACCAGAATCTGGCTACTTCAACTGCTATTTTCTCTATGATTACGGCTGAATTAGCTCTTGTACAAAACATAGAAGTTGTAGTCCATTGAAACAGCTGTCCCATGCCTCAAGAATCATCCAATTTGGAGCTGTCTAGACCGAGATATGATAAAATTACCACTGACTGGTCAATTCCGCGTTTTCAGCTCTCAGCAGCAGACTTTGACTTCTGTATTTTGACATTTTGACCATGAAAACAGCCGAATTGGACTTTGATGTCTTCATACCAAATGCAGATATATCTCTTAGCTTCAAAATGGTACCAAGATCACCTTGATCCGATCATTGTAGCTCCTGATATAGTCAAAATACGAAAATGTGTCTGAGTTGTCAAAGCTGACTTTTCTTGATTTTTGTCCTCAAATTGCATTTCTTCCTTTTACACTTCATATTTTATTTTCACCATTTTAATCCATCTTCAATCATCCAAATATTTTCTCAATGCACTTCATTTGATGATTGAATCATTAGACCTACAAAATATGAAGTTTTTACCATAAAAATCAATAGAAATGCAATTTTCACACTTTAACCACAAAATGCATATTTTCACTAGAATCTTAGTTAATTATTTATAAAACTAAATAAAACACACCAAAACTAATTAATAAAGCACACTAAAAGTACGTAAAATATACTCTTATCAATTATTCTTGTTTAACCAGAGATTCATTTCCAAAATTACCAAGTCTAATTTTCATGATGAAATGGCCTAGAGCAATATAGATTTCCCTATTTTCATGGTGAAATACTACTACTACTCTGTTTTATTTCATGAAATGCTAAATAATCCACCTAAGTGTATCTCTATTTTCATGAACATACAACTCAAGCTCTACTCATGTGTTTCCATTGTTATTACCAATCCTCATTGAACAATAACAACTAATAACAAGCTATTGGTGATCAATCAACAACAAGTAATCACAGCTACACAAGTAGACAAGTTAATAAAAGATCTAACAAGTGTACATCACCTTCAATTCATATTATTTAGCCATAAGTTTCATCTACTCCCTAGATAAAGAAAATTAGCTACTCATGAATGATTTAACAATCAAACTCACAAGTTTATTAATGCAAAACATCATGAAGTACAAGTATAAGAAAGGTAAAAGAAAGCTTAGCAAATTGAAGGTAAAGCTCTCCAATTCCTGCTATGTTCTTGTACAAGATGGTTACAAGTGAAACTCCAAAATGTTTCTCTAAGAACTCTTAGCTAGAGAGAAAACTTGTTACAAGAAGGAAAACTAGCTACCTCTCTTTTTTTTTTGCTTCTCCTCTGTGTTTCTGCATAAAAGGTGGTAGAAAGTCTATTCTTTTTCCTTCATAATTTCTTCCACTCAGATTTTGTAAAAAGAAGTCAAAGATATGATGTTTCTTTCTTTTCTACACTCATTTGGTCTTCTCTTTTGTTGCAGAAGCATGTGCCACCGATTTCTGGCCCTCAAAATAGCTGGAAAAGTTGTGAGAAAGGTAAAGAAAAATGGCTGTGCCACTTGCTGAGGAGAGAGACAGATCCGAGCCTCTGATCCGAGGGCTGAAAATTAATCCGAGCTCGGATCAGTGGATCCGAGGACTTCCCATGATGGATCCGAGGTCGGATCGTCCTGACCTCGGATACACTCCGCCAGAAATACAGACGAGGGCTCGGATCCCTCTTGTACACACGGATCCGTGCTCGGATCCGTGTTGAGTAATTTTCCAGTTTTTCACTTCTTCCCATTTTCTACATTTCTGCTCCCAATTTCTTGTGTACTTTGTCCTCTGGATAACCCTTACATTTCTTTCAGCTTGTGCATGAATTTCATACATCAATAACCTTCACAATTTCACCAAATTAACGCATTAATCCACTCATTTATCAAGTTTTGAACATTTAAACAATATTTAAGCAATTATCACCAAAAGAGTCCAAATATGGCTTTAATTTTCTCAAAACATACCAAAAATTCATGCCAAATTTGTACAAAATGTACGTTAAATATTCACTTATCAAATTCCCCCACACTTGAATCATTGCTTGTCCTCAAGCAATTTTACACAAAACTTCAATGATTTAATAAATAAATCAATACACGTATTTTTGTCAAATTTAATTCCTCAAAAACCTAGAAACCAATCATTATGCCATTTCTCAGATTACACTAAATACTCATAATATTCAATTAAATAAAAATAATTATGCCTTAATTTCAACAAATTCAAATCAATTTTCTCATTCTATCCTAATTCCATAAATAAGTAAATCACATAGTTAATTTTATGGCCTTCCTCATCCCAAAACTTAACAATTTAGAGGGATTTATTCACATTTCATCTTATTTAAATAGTGAAAACATCTTTTTACGCGAAAATCAACACTTTTAGGTGAAAATTCCCGGTTACTAAACATTTCACTTATTTAAATTGCTAAGCATACTCTTAATTCCAATACCTTTTTACGCGAATGTCGACATTTGTAAATGCCAACCCCCGGTTACTCAGTATGTGAATCATTGGAGTAGAAAATTAATAATAATATATTTTTATTTATTTATTTATTTATTTATTTATTATTATTATTAATTTTTTTTTTAACAATCAATTTCTTTTTCCCTCTAAATATAATTAAAGGAAGAATTTGGCCTTGTTTTTGACTATATCAATCACTTACTTATAAAATTAAGTAAAAATGAGAAATATCATTAATCTTGCAAAATTCTAAGCATAATTTTTCTTATTTAACCAAATATACTTTTTTAAAATGTAAAAAATCCTAATTGCATAATAACTCATTCCAAGTCAAATAAGAACTAAACTTGTCCAAAATACACATATCATTTTATCCAATGGAAGAATTAGATACTTAAAATTTTAACATTTTGGCCATTTAATTGGAAGATTTGCAATGAAATATTGGAAAATATTTTAGAAAAAATTTTGATAGAGTTTCCCCATAAAAATGGATGAAATTCCCTGCCAACAACCTCAATTTCACAAAAATTATCCTCATGACAATATCTCCAAATATAATTCCAACATTTTTAAGCCATAAACAACTACAATCATGCATTTCAAGACACAATCACCCATAAGATATAGTAATCCCTCCCCCACACTTAAAATCTACAATGTCCTCGTTGTAGAGGAAGGTAAAAGAACTGAAACTTCTCTCAAATAGGTGGTGATGCAATTTGAAGCCCTTAATCATCACGATCATCCAAATTCTGCCCAAAATGAGACAACAAGGGTACCAAACACCATAAGTAGCACAAGATGATTCAAATAAAAGAAAACTCAAATCACAAAGTTTGTCTTAACAAAAGAAAAGAAAAATAAAGAAATAAAAGAGCTAATCCGCTAAAGAGCATCATGGCTGCTCGGAACGAGGGTTTACTGCCTCCTCGGCTCCATGAGGACCATGTGAGGTACCAATATGGCCCTCCTCCTGATGAGGTGTCGGAGTAGGGGACCGTCGGATATGGAAATGATCCTCGATCGCACGAAGACGGCGATCATGTCGGTCGAGGCGCTCAGTCATCATCCGCTCCGTCTGGTCAATGCGCTCGACGACTCGCGTCTCCATACAGCACATGGCATTGAGGAGCTCTTGCCACTTGGAGCGCGGTTGAGGAGGTAGTCGCGGAACCGGAGGAGGAAGAGTCTGCTGTGCCTCCGTCTTTTGAGTTTCTGCTTGTGGTTCAGTGTGAGGCGGAGGTTGAGTGGAAGTCGATGCTTCTCCTGTGTCCCGGATCAAAGCAGCTCCAAAATCCGTAGAAATACCCAAAGCCTTGAGTATAGAAGCATTTACCTCCTCGGCAGACCTAGTTACCACCGCTCTCTCGGTTCCAAGAGGAACCTTGAGCTTCTCAAAAACGAGGGATAGCAGTCGAGGGAATCCGAAGCAAGTCTCGCCGGCCCTCATGCGAGCTGTGGTCCGCATATAGCTGATGATAATGCTGGGTAGAGGAATACCGGTCAACTGCGCACCCACACCATGCATCATCTTGTCCAAGAAGTAGAGATCACTGTTGCGGAGCTCCCGTTTTCCACTTCTTTTTGGTACCATATTGAAGGCAAAGAGGTAGAAAATCAAGTGGTACCTATGCTCGAAGGAATCGGCGTAAACTGTAAGCTTCTTCGCAGTTCCTCTCTCTCGATATTGGCCCTTTAGGCGTCCAACCGCCTCTCCCACCTGCCAAGGGTCTCGAGCCGTGAACTCCTTGGTCAATTTGACATCTTCGCCTGCGTCTTTGAGTTGGACGAAGCGTCTCAGTGTATCTCGATTGAGAGCCACTCTCCTGCCTCGAACCCATGAGACGATGAGGTTGCCACTGTGGCTCTGTTTGTTTTCTACATTAGCATAGAACTCCCGGACCAGATTGGGATAGTAGTGTTTGGGCAACTGAAGGATGTTCTCCCATCCAAGTCTCTTGAATGCTGTAGAAATGTGATAATACGCGTCCACCTCCGGTGCCAAATGCTTTTCTATTATGATCTCCTTGTCCAGTCCGGCTTCATACCACTGTTGGTTTTCAAGTGATGTGAATCGTGTGGTATTGTAGTCCGGAGGTGGCTCGGCACGGCTAGTAGACGCGGTCTTCCGGCGAGAGCGAGGTGGCGGCTCCGACGAAGGAGATTCTTCCTCAGGTGACTCCTCATGCAAAGAGGGTGTGTGTTCCTCACTTGAGGAAGGAGTAGGAGTACGAATGCGAGCCCTCCTTGTGCGAGTCATAGTTCCTATACAAAAATAAGATGAACGTTCATTAGAAATCATAGAAACTTGCTCACATATGTGAAATGAGAATTTAAGAAAATTTCGGCAGAGTTTCCCCTTGAAAAAGGGTTAAACTCACTGCCAAAATGTACCCAAATTTAAACAAATAACTTCCTAACAATTCTCAAATCCAATTCCCACATTTAGAAAAGATATTACCAATAAGGAAATTATTTCATGCATATTAAGTGCAAACAATTGAAAATTATATCCATTTGCAAGAATGAACACTCAAACACTTGAGAATATCTCCAATCCAATTCATAACACTCATAACACTCAATTTACATACACATGAGTTCCAATTCATCCAAACAAATACTAATTATCTCAAGTAAAAGTGGTTCAATGTGCTTAACTTAATTGGGAACACACTCTTTTACCCCATGGGCTATTGCTCTAATGATAGCATATCATTTTCAATTGGTATAACAGTGATGTATACTCCTCGGAACAAGTTCATATATTCAATGAAAGCAAAATTCAAGAGTATAAATCACTAAAATGCTCAAGCCCAAAAATTGAGAAAAATTCTTAAAAATATCACCAAATCCACAGTTTTCTCAAAAATAAGCATGAAAATAGTTGTACAATCTATTTAAGCACAATGTAGCACAATTGTATCAAGAAATTCCAACAAATATGCATTTATCATAATATTCCCAAAAACTAGAAATATGTAGAATAAGAAATTATAAAATGTCAAAGAAATTCGCAAATTGTTACCTCAAATGTGTGGGAAGATGATAGAGGATGATAATGATGAAGAATGAGGAACAAACAAGTCCAATTTCACTCAGAAATCAAAGAATTTCCGTGCGGCCCAAAATCCCCTTTTGAAGATCAAAATCCACTTTTGATGATGTGTCGTGGTGAAATAGTTTAGGGTTTATGATCATACAAGGGTTGTGGAGGTGTTTATGATGAAAGATTGGAGATTTGATGGTTAAAATGAAAAATTGGAGGAAAGAGGTAGGGTTTCGGTGAGAAGAGGGAAGAAGAATTTTGAAAAGTGCAGAAACGAAGCCTCGTTTCTGCTATATCCGCGAACGGATCCGAGGACGGATCGTTTCTAGAGGGCCTCGGATCCGACATGGTTCGGATCAGTCCCAACAGAAACACAGACGACCCCTCGGATTTGTCTGGGTTAGAATGGATCCGAGCGCGGATCAATGGATCCGAGCGCGGATCAATGGATCCGCGGTCGGATCTTTCTGGGCTTTTTAGGATCCGAGCTCGGATCCTTATTTCTCTGCAATAATTGCAGAAACTGCAATTTTTCAAACTTTTTCTCCCTTTTCCGACCAATTCCAAATCACACATTGGACAAACTTTTTATCAATTCTAACCTCCCACACACATGTAATATACCATAAACACAATATCCAACCTCTCAAAACACATCAAACACATTTTCATTGAAAATCGAGGTGTGAGGTTCTTTGATCATTTTTGCATTTTTACATCAAAATGGCACTTTTGGACATTAAATATACATCAAATGAGTCGATGAGCCTTTATAACCATGATATCACCAAAACTCACTTAAATATACTTGAAATGCACAATGTATGTATATGCATGGGGATTTTAAGCACTTAAAACAAAATTTGGTAAGAAAGACTCCCTTTTCACACATGTTCTTCAAGTGCACCTCCAAGATGGATAATAAAACTCCCGTACCTCCTACAAACAAGTGAAATACATCTAATTAGTCAATTAAATTACACCAAAATGTAAGAAACACACAAATACACTATTATTATTGGGTTGCCTCCCAACAAGCGCTTTTGTTTATAGTCGTTGGCTCGACTCTCCTATAACTTCTTTAACTCTCCATTGCATTTCCTAAGGAGTAAATTACTCCTTTAGGAACTTTTTCTCCGGCCAAATAGAGCTTCAATCTTTGGCCATTTACTTTGAATGGAGCACCATTTTCTCCTTTTATTTCCACTGCTCCATAAGGAAATACTTGAGTAACTTCAAATGGTCCCGACCACCTTGACTTCAATTTTCCTGGAAATAACCTCAAGCGTGAGTTGAACAGAAGTACATTTTGTCCTACCTGAAATTGTTTAGGAATAATATGCTTGTCATGCCAATATTTGATCTTTTCTTTATAAATTTTGGCATTTTCATATGCATGTAGTCGGTGTTCCTCCAATTCATTTAGCTCAAGTAATCGCTTTTCACCTGCAAGATTAAAATCCATGTTAATAGATTTAATTGCCCAATAAGCTTTGTGCTCAATCTCTACAGGTAAGTGACAAGCTTTTCCATAGACTAAACGATACGGCGACATCCCTAGGGGTGTCTTAAATGCCGTTCGGTAAGCCCATAGTGTATCATCTAACTTTGTAGCCCAATCCTTGCGTTATTTATTCACAGTTTTCTCCAAAATGAGCTTTATCTCTCTATTAGCTAGCTCTGCTTGCCCATTAGCTTGAGGATGATATGGAAGTGATGTCTTGTGCCTACAACCATATTTAAACAATAAGGAATCCAATTGTTTGTTACAAAAATGTTTCCCTTCATCACTTACTATGGCCTTGGGTATACCAAATCTACTGAAAATATTCTTTTTAAGGAATCTAAATACAATCTTAGAGTCATTAGTAGGTGAAGCGATTGCTTCTACCCATTTAGAAACATAATCCACTGCTACTAAGATGTACTTATTATTAAAAGAACTAGGAAATGGTCCCATAAAATCAATACCCCATACATCAAATAACTCAACTTCCAAAAATGTAGTTAGGGGCATTTCATTTTTTCGAGATATATTTCCAGTTCTTTGGCATGCATCACAATTTTTAACATATTCCCTAGCATCTCGGTACATAGTTGGCCAATAAAACCCTGATTGCCATATCTTTGCCACAGTCTTGGAAGTACTGAAATGACCACCTGTTTCAAGGTTATGACAATGATATAAAACATTATGTACCTCATCTTCGGGAATACATCTACGTATCATACCATCGGCACAATGTTTATATAGCAATGGTTTCTCCCAAAAGTAACTTTTGACATCATGTAAGAATTTCTTCTTTTGATGATAATTAAACCCCTTTGTAATCTCTCCACTGACCAAGTAGTTAGCAAAATCTGCATACCATGGAGAATTTCTAAATGTTAGGACAAACTCATCCGGAAAATTCTCTTGAATTGGAACCTGATCTTTGATTGGAATATATTCCAAATGTGATAAATGATCTGCAACTAGATTCTCCGAACCCTTTTTGTCTTTTATCTCCACATCAAATTCCTGCAATAACAGAATCCACCGAATTAGTCTAGGTTTTGCATCCTTCTTATGTAGCAAATATTTAAGAGCTGAATGGTCCGTATATATAATAACTTTAGATCCTACTAAATAAGATCTAAATTTATCTAAAGCAAATATCACTGCCAATAGCTCTTTTTCTGTCGTTGCATAATTGAGTTGTGCCTCATTTAGCAACTTGCTAGCATAGTAAATGACGTGCAATCGTCCTTCTTTCTTTTGTCCCAAAACTGCTCCAACCGCATAGTCACTTGCATCACACATCAATTCAAATGGTAGTGACCAATCGGGTGAAGTTATAATTGGGGCCGAAATCAATTCCTTCTTCAACCTTTCAAATGCAACCAAACAATTGTCATCAAATTGAAAAGGAGTATCTTTACATAATAAATCACATAATGGCTTTACTATTTTAGAAAAATCTTTAATAAAACGTCTATAAAAGCCAACATGTCCTAAAAAACTCCTTATCCCCTTGACATTGCTTGCAGGTGGCAATTTTTCTATAACTTCTATTTTGGCTTTATCCACCTTAATTCCCATGGAGGAAATCTTGTGTCCTAAGACAATTCATTCTTTTACCATAAAATGGCATTTCTCCCAATTTAGTACAAGATTTGTTTCCTCGCATCTCTGCAAAATCAATTCCAAATTATGAAGACAATGATCAAAAGATGAACCATTGATAAGAGTTTATTTTACGTATTTTTAAGTGCATTTTATTAGTTAATTTTGAGTTGATTATTTAGTTTTATAATTAAAATAAAGAGGTTTTTGGTAAAATTATATATTTTTGGTAAAAGTGGATAATATTGCATTTTTAGTGATTTTAATGATAAAACCTTCATTTTTATGCAGGAATGATGACTCAATCACCAAAGGATGGCAAATGAGGTGAAAAATAGAGATTTGGTGATGAAATTAAGTGGTGAAAAGAAAAATGAAGTGAAAAACGTTCAAATGAAGAATTGCACTTCAAGACAGTTTTGACACTCTTCAGTATTTCGATCATATCTCAGGCTACAAAGCTCCGATTTGGATGATTCTTGAAGCATTGGAAAGCTAACTCAAAGGGCTACAACTTTTGTGTTTTGCACAAAAGCTAGTTTGGCCTTTATCATGGAGAACATTGCAGTTGAAATAAGGCTAGAGTGAAAACGCGAGTAGACAAAACGCGAGTTTATGCCGCGTTTTGTGTAGGCGCGTTTTATAGCCGAAATTCTGCAATTTGACTCAGCCAATTCTCTCGTGTTCATACCACTTTCCAGCTATAAGATGCAAGGGAATTCGATGCACATGCTTCAGAAGACAAAAGGGCAAGAAAAGTCGCTTATTTTCAAGTCAAAAACATTGGTTATTGACAATTATAACAAAGTTAGATTTGGGGAATCAAAAGTTGGAATTTGACTTGGAAAAATAAGCCTTTGAGTGTTTTTTATGCAGAGATAGAGGGAGAGGTCTGGACATCTAGACGTAGCTAGCTTCTTACAGAAAAACATATTCTCTCTACCTAGGAATTGCAAGAAAAATTGGGATCTCATTGTGTAATCATCTAAGTTGAAGAACAAAGAAGATTTTTGAAGGCTTCACCATATCTTGGCTAAGGCTTTCTTTACTCCTCTTGTATTTGTAATTGATGATGATTTACATTAATGAAGTTATGAGTGTTTTATCATTCATGAGTAGCTAATTTTCTTTATCTAGGGAGTAGATGAAGCTTATGGCCAAATGATATGAATTGATTGTTATTCATTCTTGTTATATGTTGTATTAACTTGTCTACTTGTGTATGCTTGATTACTTGTTGTTGTTTGATCACCAATAACAGGTTTATAGTTGTTTTTACTCATTGAGAAATGGTAAAAATAATGGAATGACACAAGTAGAACTTGAGTTGTATATTCATGAGAATAGAAATACATTCAAGTGGATGAAATCTGCATTTCATGTGTGAATAAGAACAGATTTAGTATTTACCAAGAGATTAGGACAAACTAATCTGTTTTAACCCATTATTATCATGAGAATGTGATTTTGGTATTTCTGGAAATGAATCATTGGTTAAACAAGAGCAGTAACAAGTGTTGAATTAATTCATTTTAGATCTTTTGTGTCATAAGTGGAATCTACATCCCTAGATCTTAATAGTTAGTGAATTCTACTCCCCTTGAGATATTGCAATTTTCTAGTTAAGAACTCTTGTAGTTGAATTAAATTCTGAAGTTTCTGCTCAAATTAATTGTAAGTCTAAATAATAGAGTAAATTAGTATCTAATAATTGTTTTTAATTGCTCCTCGTGGGATCGACCCGATACACATCTCGTACTACAATTGCGACCTGTATACTTGCAGTCCAACGGGTGTAAATTCGGAATTAAACTTGCACTTAAAGTAAAAACCCGTCAAGTTTTTGGCGCCGTTGCCGGGGACCGGCAATATTAGAGCCTAATCATCTTTATTAATTTAGATATAGCTTTATTTTTTTTTTAGATTATATTTAATCTTATATTGTAATCAGTTTTTTTTACCATTGAAGTTGCATAATATCCCTTATTTCTGTTTGTAGTGTATGCACCGGGAGTCTCGAGAAGTCGCACCTTTCGATCCAGAAATTGAGAGGACATTACGTAGACAAAGGAGGCACACACAACAGCAGGAGGAGCAAGAGATTTGGCAACCGATAGAGGAAATTTTGATAGAACTATCATTTGAAGAAGAAATGGCTGAAAATGAAGCAAATAGGCGAGTTCTACGAGATTTTGCTCTACCGGGAACACAAGGATCTCAAACGAGCATAGCAAGGCCTACGGTAAATGCTAACAACTTTGAGATTAAGCCATCACTTATCCAAATGGTTCAACAATCTCAATTTGGAGGTAATGCTGTAGAAGATCCTAACTCACACTTAGCTACATTATTAGAAATATGTGATACAATTAAAATGAATGGAGTTAGTGATGATGCTATAAGGTTACGGTTGTTCCCATTTTCATTAAGAGATAAGGCAAAAATGTGGTTACACTCTCATGCTCCTAACACTTTTACCACATGGGATGATTTATCAAGGGCATTTTTTAATAAGTATTTTTCACCTGGTAAGACTGCTAAGCTAAGAATGGATATCACTAGTTTTAGTCAATTGGAGGGAGAATCATTATATGAGGCATGTGAAAGGTTTAGAGATTTGCTTCGGAAATGTCCACATCATGGACTGCCGGAATGGTTAATCATACAAACCTTTTATAATGGTTTATCTTTCTCCACTAAAACTATTATTGATACAGCCGCAGGTGGAGCTTTAATGGGTAAATCACCCCAAGAAGCTCAGAATTTGATAGAAGAAATGGCCGCAAATAACTACCAATGGGCCAATGAAAGAGGTAATACGAGACGTCACTCAGGTATGATAGAAATGGACACTCTCAATATGCTGAGTGCTCAAATGAATAATGTGATGAAATTGCTAAGTAGACAAGGTGGAGTTGGTCCAAGTTCATCTAATGCACACGTAGCTTGTTGCTCTTTCTGTGGAGGTGAACATGATATTAATGAGTGTGTTGATTCTGAGCAGGTACAATTTGTCAATAATTACAACTGAAATGCTCCAACTAATCCCTATTCGAATACTTACAATCCGGGGTGGAGAAATCATCCAAACTTTGGATGGAAAGATCAAGGCAATCAACAAAGGCCAACCAATCCGCCGGGATTTCAACCAAGGCAACCACAGGCTGAAACTAAACCAAGTTGGGAGATCGCGGTGGAAAAACTTGCTAAGGTGACTTCGGATAGATTCGAGTGAGTTGAGGGGCGGTTGGACCAATTAGCTGGGATGTACAGAAACTTGGAGGTTCAAATTGGTCAAATTGCCAATGTGATCAACAATAGAAACCCTGGTGAATTACCAAGTAAAACCGAAGTGAATCCGAGAGAGCAGGTCAATGCAATCATTCTTAGAAGCGGTAAAACGGTTGAGGGATTCGATTTTGAAAATTCAGGTGGTGAAAAAGACAAGAAGCAAGCAATTGAAGGGGAGCAAGAAAGTCAAAATGATCATGTTATCATTGATATTGATGCACTTCATCCCAAATTAAATTCTAATGTGATACCTTTTCCTCACAGGTTGAAGAAAGATGGACAGGATCGGGAGTTTGAAAAGTTCTTCAAAATGTTTAAACAATTGCACATTAACATTCCTTTCATTGATGCTATAACACAGATTCCCTCTTATGCACGTTTCTTGAAAGACACCATGTCAAAGAAGAGGAAAATTGTAGATAATGAGATGATAGCATTAACGGAAGAGTGTAGTGCATTGATTAAGAATAAACTCCCTCCTAAATTGAAAGATCCGGGAAGTTTTTCTATTCCTTGCACTATTGGTCAATTGCATTTTTCTAATGCTTTATGTTATTTAGGTGCAAGTGTGTCACTTATGCCATTATCGGTTGCCCGGAGATTGGGACTTCAAGAGCTAAAAGCTACCAATATTACATTGCAATTGGCGGATCGGTCAATCACACGTCCCATGGGTATTTTGGAAAATGTGCTCATAAAGGTAAGACAATCTATAATACCTGTGGATTTTGTTGTCTTAGATATTGAAGAAGATGTGAGAATGCCAATTATTCTAGGACGACCGTTTTTAGCCACTGCACGAACTATAATTGATGTAGAAAAAGGTAAGCTTATATTACGGGTTAATGGTGAGGAATTGGAATTCAATTTGGATAATAAAGAAGGAAGTATAGAGCCAACTGCTCTTGTGTCTAATATGCCATATGATGAAAAGGTTAACCAAGAAAGGACCGAAGAAGTTAAATTTATAAATGTCCTTGGTACTAACTTTCATGGTGTAGGAACAAAGGAGGAGAAGATAAGGATGGAAGTTGGCTTAATAAATTCTCCATTCCATGAAGAAAATGGTGAAAAGTTGTGCCAATTCAGAAAAGACAAGCAAAATCCACTCCAAGGTGAAGTTGAGCCTCTCTATGACAAGTCTAATATTCCTCCTTGGCATTTGAGGAAATTGGACTATGAAGATCAATGCATGGTTCACCACATGGTGGATTGGCTCGGGAGTTTCGACCCATGGGGAGAAAATCTCTCTCTAAATGCTCTAAAGTGATTCAACTTTTTCAGTTGAGCCAACGACTATAAACAAAAGCGCTAATTGAGAGGCAACCCAATATTTAGGTTATATTTGTTAACTTGGTGTGATTTTGTGGTTTGAATCAATGTTTTAGCTAAATTGTTGTTTTTGTAATGTAGGGTTGGCAATTGAAGGCAAGGAGGACCAATTGAGTACAAAAAAGGCGAACTTTGATCAAACAACTCAACCCCTCGATTTGCGTTAAAGGTGTTTTTGATTCATTATAAAGGGGTAAAATGCATGTTTTTAATGTTTTACATTTGTTCCAGTCATTAAAATTGGCAAACGAATGATCTATGATGCATTTTGAGTCATTGGGGTACCTTTTGTAATTTTTCAAAAGTTGAAATTCTGCTAAAAATCGAAGCAGAAAACGCGTTTTCCACGAAAACGCGACTACAAGTCGCGTTTCTCAGAATCGCGTTTTCAATTCTGCGCCTGCAGAACAGAAAACGCGCCTTTAAAACGCGATTTGAAGTCGCGTTTTGGAGGAAGTCGCGTTTTCTCGCCTGAGCAAAACTGGAAAACGCGACACAGATAAACGCGACTTTAAGTCGCGTTTTCATACGTAACCGCGTTTTCAATTCTGCGAGATTTGTGCAGAAAACGCGGCTTTAAAAACGCGCGTTGAAGCCGCGTTTTTAGTCGCGTTTTCGGTTCATTTTTCTGCTTCAAAAACGCGATTTCCCGAACATTTCTTCACTTTTCCATTTTTCCAGCCGCGTTTTTCTTCTTCTCTTCTACCCAACTCACAAATCTTCATTTTTACTCCATAATCGTCTAAGCCGAATTGAAGATCATTTGGGCATTCATCCACCGCCCAATCGTGATGCAGAGGATGACGATGATGCCGAGGGGGATGACTGACTTGGCACACTGCAGAAGCTATCTTTAGTTGCTGGAATTGCTTGCCTAATTATCTTAATTTGTGGAGTTTAAGATGTTAACTTCATTTCATTTTTTCTGTTTTCTATGTGGTAGGTACTTGTATTTTGACAGTGGTCCGTGATTAGTGGCTGATACGGATCTCAGCCATTGACTTGGGGAGTACTTCTTTCTTTTCTTTTCTACTTTTGTTTATTTCCTTCCCTACACATTGAGGACAATGTGTAATTTAAGTGTGGGGGGGAGAAATATGTGTGATACTTGTGGTTTTAGTTGTGTTTGATATAATTCTTGTGCTTAAATTATGTTTCTTGTGGTTGCTGGCAGGGAGTTTTAGTCCACTTTTAAGGGGAGATTCTGTCAAAATTTTTACAAAACCTTATACATATATATGTTATTAACCATAATAAATAAATAAAATTTTGTCACTTATCCTTTTGAAATAAATATATGTGATTTTGAAACTTCTTTTCTCATGAAATTTGGAAATGATTTTTATGTGATTATAATTTTTATCTATAGGAAAGTATATCTAGTAAAGTGGAGAAACTTATGCCTATATTTTTGCATATTTGATGAAAATTCTTCTTTTTATCTGATTTTATAAGATAAGAAATTAATATGGTCAATAAGTGTCATACTTTTCTCATGATTATTCTTAGAGGGAATTTTATTATATATATATATAAAAAAAAGGGTTATTCTACTCTAATAGTTTTTGTACTTAGTAACCGGGAGTCTTCATCTACAAATGTCGACTTTCGCGTAAAACGGTACTTAAATTAAGAGTACGAAAAGCAACTTGAGTATGTGAAATGTTGAGTAACCGGGGATCTTCATCTAAAAATGTCGATCTTCGCGTCAAAAGGCATTTTTCACAACTTAAGTAATATTTAACCCTTAAAATATATACATGAAAAAAAAAAGAGTAAGATAAATCCCTCTTTAAAAGAAAAATAAGAAGTTGATCCTGAGATTAGTTAGTATCTTTATTGACTATAGGAGTTGCTTGCTTGCGAAATTGGATAAAAATAAGAAGTTGAGTTGAATTGGTAAAAATTATGGTATATTTGGCTCTTCTTTGCTTGATATTATGAGTACTTGAATTTAATGGAAAGATCACATAAGGGTTATTTACCTTGATTCAAGGAAATGGAGTTGAAATACTACATATGTTTATTTTCAATTTTTTTTGGATCATTGATGGTTAGAATTTTATATTGCTTGAGGACAAGCAATGATTCAAGTGTGGGGGTATTTGATAAGAGTTTATTTTACGTATTTTTAAGTGCATTTTATTAGTTAATTTTGAGTTGATTATTTAGTTTTATAATTAAAATAAAGAGGTTTTTGGTAAAATTATATATTTTTGGTAAAAGTGGATAATATTGCATTTTTAGTGATTTTAATGATAAAACCTTCATTTTTATGCAGGAATGATGACTCAATCACCAAAGGATGGCAAATGAGGTGAAAAATAGAGATTTGGTGATGAAATTAAGTGGTGAAAAGAAAAATGAAGTGAAAAACGTTCAAATGAAGAATTGCACTTCAAGACAGTTTTGACACTCTTCAGTATTTCGATCATATCTCAGGCTACAAAGCTCCGATTTGGATGATTCTTGAAGCATTGGAAAGCTAACTCAAAGGGCTACAACTTTTGTGTTTTGCACAAAAGCTAGTTTGGCCTTTATCATGGAGAACATTGCAGTTGAAATAAGGCTAGAGTGAAAACGCGAGTAGACAAAACGCGAGTTTATGCCGCGTTTTGTGTAGGCGCGTTTTATAGCCGAAATTCTGCAATTTGACTCAGCCAATTCTCTCGTGTTCATACCACTTTCCAGCTATAAGATGCAAGGGAATTCGATGCACATGCTTCAGAAGACAAAAGGGCAAGAAAAGTCGCTTATTTTCAAGTCAAAAACATTGGTTATTGACAATTATAACAAAGTTAGATTTGGGGAATCAAAAGTTGGAATTTGACTTGGAAAAATAAGCCTTTGAGTGTTTTTTATGCAGAGATAGAGGGAGAGGTCTGGACATCTAGACGTAGCTAGCTTCTTACAGAAAAACATATTCTCTCTACCTAGGAATTGCAAGAAAAATTGGGATCTCATTGTGTAATCATCTAAGTTGAAGAACAAAGAAGATTTTTGAAGGCTTCACCATATCTTGGCTAAGGCTTTCTTTACTCCTCTTGTATTTGTAATTGATGATGATTTACATTAATGAAGTTATGAGTGTTTTATCATTCATGAGTAGCTAATTTTCTTTATCTAGGGAGTAGATGAAGCTTATGGCCAAATGATATGAATTGATTGTTATTCATTCTTGTTATATGTTGTATTAACTTGTCTACTTGTGTATGCTTGATTACTTGTTGTTGTTTGATCACCAATAACAGGTTTATAGTTGTTTTTACTCATTGAGAAATGGTAAAAATAATGGAATGACACAAGTAGAACTTGAGTTGTATATTCATGAGAATAGAAATACATTCAAGTGGATGAAATCTGCATTTCATGTGTGAATAAGAACAGATTTAGTATTTACCAAGAGATTAGGACAAACTAATCTGTTTTAACCCATTATTATCATGAGAATGTGATTTTGGTATTTCTGGAAATGAATCATTGGTTAAACAAGAGCAGTAACAAGTGTTGAATTAATTCATTTTAGATCTTTTGTGTCATAAGTGGAATCTACATCCCTAGATCTTAATAGTTAGTGAATTCTACTCCCCTTGAGATATTGCAATTTTCTAGTTAAGAACTCTTGTAGTTGAATTAAATTCTGAAGTTTCTGCTCAAATTAATTGTAAGTCTAAATAATAGAGTAAATTAGTATCTAATAATTGTTTTTAATTGCTCCTCGTGGGATCGACCCGATACACATCTCGTACTACAATTGCAACCTGTATACTTGCAGTCCAACGGGTGTAAATTCGGAATTAAACTTGCACTTAAAGTAAAAACCCGTCAACCATACACAGAAAAATCATCCATAAATATCTCCATAATTTTCTCAATATAATCAGAAAAAATAGCCATCATGCATCGTTGAAAAGTTGCAGGAGCATTGCATAAACCGAATGGCATTCTTCTAAAGGCAAAAGTGCCATAAGGACATGTAAATGTGGTCTTCTCTTGATCCTCTGGAGCTATAGCTATTTGATTATATCCTGAAAAACCATCAAGAAAACAGTAAAATTCATATCCAGCTATTCGCTCCAATAATTGATCAAGAAATGGTAAGGGAAAATGATCTTTTCTTGTTACCGTATTTAACTTACGATAATCAATACACACTATCCATCCTACCACAAGTCTAGATGGAATTAATTCATCATTTTTACCCATGATTGTAGTCATTCCACCTTTCTTTGGTACCACATGAATTGGACTAATCCAAACACTATCGGAGATAGGAAAAACTATACCTGCGTCAAGCCACTTAAGAATTTCATTTCTTACCACCTCTTTCATGTTTGGATTCAGTCTTCTTTGTGTTTCCACCACTGGTTTGCAACCGTTCTCCAATAAAATTCGATACATACATATAGAAGGACTTATACCTTTAATGTCTGAAATTGTCCATCCAATTGCTTTCTTACGCCTTCTTAGAACTCTTAACAACTTTGCACACTGCTCATCATCTAGGTCAGCACTAACAATTACAGGTAAAGTGCTATTTTCTCCAAGAAATTCATACCTTAGATGAGTTGGAAGTGGCTTGAGCTCTAACTTTGGAGGTTCAATTTCTGAAGGTTGTGAAAACCCTTTTCCTTGGCCAAGACTTTCATAAAATTACCCCTTTTATAAGGTGCTTGAAAATCCAAATACTTGGCCAATTCTTCAATTTCTTCACAAACATATTCTTGCTTACCTACACTCATCAAACAATACTCAAGAGGATCTAAGTCAAAGTTGACTTGACTCATCTCTTGAGTTAGTTTATCAATTGTGCCAATAGAATAAGCATGATCGGTAAAAGAAGGGTATTTTTTTATTTCATGCAAATTAAACTCTACCTCTTCTTCATCTACTTGAAACTTCAGCTTGCCATTTTTGACATCAATAATAGTACCTGCAGTAGCTAGAAATGGTCTACCAAGAATAATTGGTATAGATACATCTTCTTCCATATCTAATACCACAAAATCCACTGGAATGATAAATTTTTGAACTTTTATCAAAACATTTTCCAACACTCCAAGTGGATATCTGATAGATCTGTCCGCTAGTTGCAAAGTAATATTAGTGCTTTTAAGCTCCTTCAAACCCAATTGTCTAGCCACCGTTAGAGGTATTAATGATATACTAGCACCAAGATCACACAATGCCTTAGAAAAATCAATGTTACCTATGGTGCAAGGTATAGAAAAACTCCCCGGATCCTTCAACTTCGGTGGTAGCTTATTTTGAATAATTGCACTACATTCCTCCGTTAATGCTATTGTTTCACAGTCTTCCAACTTTCTTTTTCTAGTCATGATTTCCTTGAGAAATTTTGCATAAGACGGAATCTGCAAAATAGCATCGGCAAAAGGAATGTTAATGTGCAATTGTTTGAACAGTTTAACAAATTTTTCAAACTCTTTATCAAACTTATTTTGCTTTAATCTTTGTGGAAATGGAATCGCAGGAGGTATTGGAATGGTAGTGGAAAATGATGGTTGCTTTTCTCTTGGATTCTCCCAACTATTTTCCTCCACAATCGCCTCTTGGTTCCTCTGCTTTTCTTCTTGTTTTTCATTCTCATCTTTCTCAACTTCCACCACTGGAGGATCTTCTAATTGTCTACCACTACGAAGAGTAATGGCTTTCACATGCTCCTTAGGATTGACCTCTGTTTAGCTAGGTAATTCTCCTTGATTTCGATTATTCAAAGAACTAACAATTTGACCAATTTGGACCTCTACATTCCTGTACATTGTAGTGAGTTGATCCAGTCTCCCTTCTACTCGTTCAAATCTGTCCGAGGTAACTTTAGCAAGTTTTTCTACTGCAATCTCCCAACCCGGTTTAGTTTCAGCTTGTGGTTGCCTTGATTGGAACCCCGGTGGATTGGTTGGCCTTGGTTGATTTCCTTGGTCCTTCCATCCAAAGTTTGGATGATTTCTCCACCCTGGGTTGTAAGTATTCGAGTAGGGGTTGTTTTGAGCATTACGATTGTAATTATTAACGAATTGTACCTGCTCAGAATCAACACACTCATTAGTATCATGTTCACCTCCACATATAGAACAACACGCTACATGTGCATTAGATGAACTTGGACCAACTCCACCTTGTCTACTTAGCAACTTCATCATATTATTCATTTGAGCACTCAGCATATTGAGAGTGTCCATTTCTATCATACCTGCGTGACGTCTTGTATTACCTCTCTCATTGGCCCATTGGTAGTTTACCCATTAAAGCTCCACCTGCAGCTGCATCGATCATAGTTTTAGTAGAAAAAACTAAACCATTATAGAAGGTTTGTATGATTAACCACTCCGGCAGTCCATGATGTGGACATTTCCGAAGCAAATCTCTAAACCTTTCCCATGCCTCATATAATGATTCACCTTCCAATTGGCTAAAACTAGTGATATCCATTCTGAGTTTAGCAGTCTTACCTGGTGGAAAATACTTATTCAAGAATGCTCTTGATAAATCATCCCATCCGGTGAAAGTATTAGGAGCATGAGAATGTAGCCAAAGTTTGGCCTTATCTCTCAATGAAAATGGGAACAATCTTAGCCTTATAGCATCATCACTAACTCCATTCATTTTAATTGTATCACAAATTTCCAAGAATGTAGCTAAGTGTGTATTAGGATCTTCTACTGCATTACCTCCAAATTGAGACTGTTGAACCATTTAGATAAGTGATGGTTTAATCTCAAAATTATTAGCATTTACCGAAGGCCTTGCTATGCTCGTTTGAGATCCTTGTGTTCCCGGTACAGCAAAATCTCGTAGAACTCGCCTGTTTGCTTCGTTTTCTGCCATTTCTTCTTCAAATGGAAGCTCTATTAAGATTTCCTTTATTGGTTGCCAAATCCCCTGTTCCTCTTGCTGTAATGTGTTCCTCCTTTGTCTATGTAGTGTCCTCTCAATTTCTGGATCGAAAAGTACAACTTCTCGAGACGCCCGGTGCATACACTACAAATAAAAACAAGAGAAATTTTGCAGTTTTAATTCAACAACTTGAATAAAAACAATGAAAATATCTAAATTAATAGAGATGATTAAGCCCTAATATTGCCGCTCCCCGGCAACGGCGCCAAAAACTTGACGGTGGTTTTTACTATCAATGCAAGTTTAATTCCGAATTTACACCCGTTGGACTGCAAGTATACAGGTCGCAATTGTAGTACAAGATGTGTATCGGGTCGATCCCACGAGGAGCAATTTAAACAATTACTAAGCCCTTGTTTTCTCTATTATTTAGATTTACAATTAAATTGAGCAGAGAAAATATAATGCTGTAATCTACAAACCTGATCTACAAATCTAGTTTAACAAATGCTGAATGCAAATAGCGAAATTTCACTTAAGGAAGATTCTAGGGATGTAGATTCCACTTATGGCAATAAACAACACAAATTAATGGATTTACTTCTTGCTATTATTCTTGTTTAACCAGAGATTCATTTCCAAAATTACCAAGTCTCATTTTCATGATGAAATTGCCTAGAGCAATATAGATTTCCCTATTTTCATGGTGAAATACTACTACTACTCTGTTTTATTTCATGAAATGCTAAATAATCCACCTAAGTGTATCTCTATTTTCATGAACATACAACTCAAGCTCTACTCATGTGTTTCCATTGTTATTACCAATCCTCATTGAACAATAACAACTAATAACAAGCTATTGGTGATCAATCAACAACAAGTAATCACAGCTACACAAGTAGACAAGTTAATAAAAGATCTAACAAGTGTACATCACCTTCAATTCATATTATTTAGCCATAAGTTTCATCTACTCCCTAGATAAAGAAAATTAGCTACTCATGAATGATTTAACAATCAAACTCACATAAAATTACTTATTTAGTTCTTATTATTTTATAGTGTGTGTATAAAAATAAAATAAAATAAAAAAAATATATATATATGCTGGGCGGATCGGGTACCCGCGGACTTTTAATTATGTGATCCTAACCCGTCCGCGCATTTTAGCGGGTACCCGACCCTCTTTTGACCCGATCAAATAATAAAAATCGGATATCCTAATTTTTGGATCGGATCGGATCAGATATGACGGGTTTTCGGGTTAGCGGATACTTTTGCCCACCCCTATCAGTTGGAGTGAATTGAGAAGAAAATTGGATGATAATTGATGAATTGAAGTGGTTTAAAGAAGGCATGAAGTACAAAACATTCAATTGAGGGAATTCAAGTAAAGACAGTTTCGACATATCTTGGTATTTCGGCTATATCATGAGCTACAATGATCGGATCAAGGTGATCTTGGTACCATTTTGAAGCTAAGAGATATATCTACATTTGGTATGAAGATATCAAAGTCCAATTCAGCCGTTTTGTTAGTCAAAAAGTTGAAACACAGAAACTTATCTGGATGGTCGAAAGCTGAAGCCCAGAATTGACCAATCTATGGTATTTCAACCATATCTCTGTCCACCGATCTCCAAATTAGATGATTCTTAAATCATTGGAACGCTAATTCAATGGGCTACAATTTTTGTTTTTTACATAACCACCAGTTCGGTGGCTATCATAGAGAAAATTGCAGTTGAAGTGAGGTCAAAAGTGAAAATGCGTATGGCAGCCAAATTTCTGCAATTTGCTCAGCCATTTTTCTCATCTTCACACTACTTTCCAGCTAGAGTTGGAGCGAAAATGTAGGCTGCACATGTTTTTGATGCACAAAGGAAGAAAAATAGCTTATTTTCAAGTAAAAAATATACGGCAGAATCAAGAGGTTGGAACTTTATTTTGTTGACTTCGTTGACACCAGATTTAGAGAATCAAAAGGGAGAAGAAAAATACGGTAGGTGAATGGAGGATATTAGAATTATAGGATAAAAACTAAGGCTGGTCATATTCTCTGGAGCTAGCAATTTTTTGCAGGAGCTTGGAGAGTGCAAGAATTACCACAAAAATGTAGTTCTTCCATATCCTTAGTGTAGGGTAATTTAGCTAGTTAGTTCATCCTTCTTGTATATTAGCTAGATTAGGATGAAGATGGAGATGAAAAGGAGGAGTTGAAGCTCAAGTGACATGAGTTATCTCTTCTCCAACTCTTTATCTTTTGTATTGGATTCTTAAGTATGGTTAATATACAAGTTTTAGATTTTATGTTTATTATGTATTTCTAAGGTTAATGCCTAGAGTATGGATGAACTTTCTATATTTTGTTAGTGATGTTTATTTGGTTATTTGGTGATATTATTTTGAACAAGTTATTTATCACTTTTGATATTCTAATCATAATTAAGTGGCCATTAATTGTGATTATCTAAGGTGTTAAATTTGCAATGAGAATTGGAATTTAACACCAGTTCAAGGAAGTGATAAACATAGGGAGTTCACTCATGAAAGTAGAGGTGCACCTATGTGGTTTAAGTGACTTGTTTCATGTAATTTCATAGAAGAAATAAACTTGTAGTTAATTTCATAACCACGAGAGTAGGTATGGCTTAATTACAAGTATAGTTGATTCACTACGAGAGTAGGTTTTACATACATAAGAAAATTATGCCATAACTAGTCAAGATAATAGCATTCACTTAACCAGTAATCTCATTTGCAAGAGTAGTGAGGAATTCCATATCTCTAGGAGCTTTCTAGTGTTAATTTTCATTACATTTATATTTATGGTAGTCTAGATAATAAAGTAGTTCGAAAATCACCGGTAATTGCAATCTTCCTTATGGGATCGACCCTTAATACCCTATACTCACTCACGATTCGTATACTTGCGATAAATCGCGTGTGGGGTATTTTGGAGTTTATAAATGTAAAACTTGATTGTGAATGAGTTAATTGTATATGTATACCCGCACACGTCAGTGGGATCATTACAATCCACCCCCCTTAGGGAACCAGTGTACTCGCTGGCACACCGGGGTCGGGAGTCAGCTCTGATACCAATTCTAACACCTCTAGCCAATATTGTCCCATAGTTAGCCACCCCATTGGGCCGTGGGTTTTGTTCCTGGTGTTGCTGGACAACACAATAGGCTTATGCCTCACCAAAAGGCCTCGGCTAGGTGGGGGACACCATAACAGGTTATTAAGCAGCCCAAGACTTCCTCCTAGCCAATGTAATGCATGCCGAGTTACAAGCCCTCCTGCTAGGGTCCAATATTGTATTGCATGCGGGTATCTGGAGTTGCATTTTGAGGCAGACTCTTTTACACTCGTTCGGTCGTTCAGGGCGCTTGTACGTGTGTCCATGGCAGTTGCAGAGGGAGCTGGATGAGCTGCTCCAGTTTAAACAACACTTTCTCATGGTTTTGCATTGTTTCAGGGAAGCAAATCCATCGGCGGATCGTGGCAAATTTTGGTGTCGACTCTAATGTAGGACAGGTTTTTAATGATTTTTCTGATCTCCCCGGTTAGTCAAGTGAATATTAGAATGGATAGGTTGGGACTCCATCGTTTCGGAGGCGGGTAGCTGGGTAGGCATGTCTGTACCCTCAGCTTGTGTATTCATGGTTATTCGTAATAAAATCAGTTAATTTTTCTAAAAAAAAAATGAGTTCGCTACATATTTAATATTTATTTAATTTCAGATCATTTTGTAAGTTTTTGAAACCATTTGTACTTCTCAAATTTCATGTCTATATGCTGATGTTTTATTAATATTTAGTTAGGTAAAAGATTAGTGAAATAATTTTTTTTTATGATTTTTGGGTCTATATAAAGGACGAAACTTAATATTCATAATCTTATCGTTAAATCATTGATAGCCATACAAATATGAGGATAATTTATTTTATAATCAATTGCTATGTGTTAGATATCACCAAAATTACAAGAGAGGGTCAAATTGGGTGATAAGAAGAAAGGATTATAATTAAATAGAAGATTTTGAATTCAAAAAAAAAATCTTTTGAATTCAAAACCTTCCATTTCCAAAAATTATAAAGAAAAATTTATTTGAGAACTGCACTGCCCAATTTGTCCATAAGAGATCTAGAAATCTAGTGTTTATGGACTTAGTTTTAAAATAGTCCATCTACAAAAAGCAATTGAAATAACAACATTTCTAAATCATAGATACAAATATACAAGTTCCTATAATTAAAAAGATGAGACATCTTTTAATTTGTTTTTATCGCATAAGTTGCATGTCGAACAGGATTTTCCTTAGTGAAAATGGATACTGCATTTACAAGGCAATGTGCACCTATTACTTCCCCTTGACAAGTACAATAGAGCAATGAAAATAGTATTAATGTCAACGAAAAGAAATATTGGTGCTTACGGAAAAAGAAAAGAAAAGAAGAGTACATATGTGTTTTGTCTATTCAAGGAAACTCTACCTTTTGCTGTATTTGTTCCCCTGCCTCTACCCAATTCTATACGTCTCTCAAGGTTAATGTTGAAAATTTTCTTACGCATCAATTCACTTGCGGAGGAATCTTCAAACCAATATGCTGAGAGCTTGCGGAGGCGTTTCAAAGTTTATTCCAAAGTGGGCTGTGTAAGTGCTGGAGTGGACCATTCCATGTTGTCCATTAGAGCCCACCCATAATATCCCTTAACTCGGACACCCTTACTGCAATAAATGAAGAAAAATATAAAAGCATGTATCATATTGATTTTTACTTTTTCTATAATTGGGAAAATTAGAATATTTTTTTAATATGTCATAAAAGTAAATTTGAGACTATTAATAATTCAAAAAACTTTTGCTGAGGTGGAGGTTTTAGAGGAATTTAGTCAATTGCCTTTTTAACATTCAAAAGGTGGAGAAAGTAATATTGTATCCTAAAGCTGGCTTGTAAAGCTTCTTGAGTGATAAATTGGGATCATTTAATTCATCAATCCTTGAAAAAAAATAAGAAATATGGATATTAGTTGTTTGATAGGGTATAAATTGTACTATTTTATATGTGTAAATTGTTAGTTAATTGTGATATTGAGCTATAATTTGAATAGAAACCACTTAATTTGATATTATGTTGTTCTCATAGTTAGAAAGCTCAATTTGAGATAAAATGGATTGGTTTTAGGAGTTCTGGAACAAGGTGAATCATGGGAAGGAGTAGGGGTGAGCAGCTTGATCAAAAACTTGACTCGAGCTCGGTAAAATCGAGCTCGAGTTCAAGTTCGAGCTATTCGTTAAATTTAACGAGTCGAGTTCGAGCTCAAGAAATAAGTACTCGAGTGCTCGCCGAGCTTAATCGAGCTTTCATATTTTATTTATATATATATTTATATTATATATTTTTTAAAAAAATTATAGATTTATTTCAAAACTCGAGCTCAAGCTCGAGTAGCTCGGGTTTGATATTTACTCGAGCTTACTCGACCTCAAATGAGTCGAGCTCGAGTTTTGTTTTATTTCATCGAGTCGAGCTCGAGTTCAAATTTTTTTACTCGATCGAGCTCGATCGAGCTCAAGCTCGAGTAGCACAAATTTTAATCAAGTTCGAGCTCGAGTATGGTGCTACTCGAGCTCGACTCGGCTCGATAGCACCTCTAGGAAGGAGCACCAAGGGAAGCAAAAATGTGGACCACCTGGATAACAAGGATCCACGGACCGATCCCACGGATCTGTGTGTGGTCATTGAACTGATCATTGGGCTGGTCTTCCTTTGGTTCGAATGGCTTTTTAGCTTTGCCCAATGATAGGGGTGAGTCTTGATCTGGACATTCTCCGAAACTTCATGCGGGCTCATTTTTTTCGACTTTAAGAAATCTAATTCCATTTAATTCAGCTACAATTTTAGAAAGTTATAAACAGGGGTTATCTAGATCGTTTAAAGGGTTAAAAAACAACTAAACTAGATTTAGTTCATCTCTTTATATCTTCTTAAACCTTCTTCTCACGAGATTAAGATCCATGCACACGCGAATGAAAGAGAGATCAAGACGGAGATTAGAGCAAGGTAAATTGAGAATTTTTTCTTACTCTTATTTTCATATTTGTATTTACTCTTTGAATTCATGATTTTCCCTAGGTCTATGTTGAACTAATTTATTTCCAGGGTTAGGGTTTTGTGAAAGAGTATTGATTATTTATCGTAGTTAAATTCTCGATTTTTGCCTTGATTTATCTATCCTAATTTAATTTCATATTAATGCTTGATCACCATAGACATACTTTTAGGGAAGAAATATAAAACCGTGCACTAGATAGATAAATATTTAGCCGAAATACAAGAGTAGCTTAGGATTTCTATGGTGACGGGCTTTTGATATACGTACAAGTTAAAACCCGATTTATTTGACTGCAAGTATATAGGTCAAATTAGTAGTTTAGGGCGTGTATCGGGTTGATCCCACGAGAAAGATTAAACAATTACCGGTGTTACTAAAGCTTCTGTATTATTTAGACTATCAATAAAATATAAGAAATAAAACCTACTGAACTTATGCAAAATAACAATTGAAAACTCCTTAGGTTATGGTGTCCCTAACTACTCATGCAAGTGCTATATTTGGATCATCGAGTACTACTATCTAGGCTAGTTATGGTGTAATTTCTTTATGCATATGAAACCTACTTTCGTAGTAAATCAACTATACTTATAATTAATCCATACCTATTCTCATGATTATGAAATTAGCTACAAGTTCATTTCTTCAATAAAATTACATGAAATTAATCACTAAAACCACATATGTGCACCTCTACTCTCATGAGTGTACTCCTTATATTTAGCACTTCTTGAACCAGTGTTAAATCTCAATTTTCATTACAAAAACAACACGTTAGATAATCACAATTAATGGTACCAGATTAATTATGATTGAAAGAGCTAAAGTGCTAAATAGCTTGCTCAACTCATAGCAATCAAATAGCCAAATAATAAACACTAACAATCACAGAAAGTTCAACCAAACCCAAGGCATAAACTTTAAAGATACATAATAAACACAAAAGCCAGAACTTGCATATTAATCATATTTAAGAATCCAATACAAAAGATAAAGAGTTGGAGAAGAGATAACCCATGTTACCTGAGCTTCAACTCCTCCTTATTCATCTCCATCTTCATCCTAATCTAGCCAATATACAAGAGTGGATGAGTTATACTACTCTATACTAAACTAAACTAACACTAAGAAAATTGAAGAAATACATTTCTGTACTCCCAAGCTTTCTCCCGTATGTCCCTCCTTGAATCTTGCAAGTTTTTGGCTATATAAAGGTAAAAGGTGGTCAATGAATGAGGTTTACACCACCCTTTTACAGCTGCAAAGTGTTTGTCACATGTCTAGCATTACATGTGACTTATTGGAGGTGAAATCAAGTTATCCGCATAAAGAGCAGCCTTTTCTGACCACAATCCGGCCAGAAATCCGGCCAAGTTCCGGCCGGATTGCTACAGTGACCTTTTTGTGCAATTTCTGTTCAAACTTCACTACTGCTCCAATTTTGCCTCAAATTCAACTGAACTGTTCTTGATAATAGAAGATGAATTAACTCTTGACCAAAACATAAAACTTGTAACCTTTGAGTTAGCTTTTCAATGCATCAAGAATCACCTCATTAGGATTTGTGTAGGCTGAGAAATGACTGAAATACCTTTAACTGCTCAATACCCTGTTTCAGCTTCGACCAATAGAAATTGACTACTGTAATTCAGTTTTTTGACCTAGAAAACCTTAGAACTGGATTTCGGTGTCTTCACCAAAGTTGTAGGTCTATCTCTTATTTTCAAATTAGTTCAAGAATCATCTCAATCCGATCACTATACCTCAAGATATAGCTGAAATACGAAAATGTGTCAAAGCTGTCAAAATGTACAAAATACAAGTAAAAAGTGATAAAATCTCATTTAATCACTTAAGATCATTTTTCACCAATTATAGCCAAAATGATTCATTTTCTTCCAATAATATAACCAAAGTGACTAAAAATAATATAAAATGTTATTCAATTATTATATAAATTAATCACTCATCATATGGTGTAATCAAAATCACCAAAAATTTAAACGGGTCAAATCAAATACTTTTGATCTCCAGAGAGGCGTAAGGTTTAATGAGTACAATTTAGATTACCAAGAGATAATCTAAAATATTTTTGTGTGATATGTTCTTGGCCTGTTAAAAAAATAACTAAATAATTAATTCAACCTCTAGATGAAAATCTAAAACTCTAGTCTCTTGCCAATTGTTTTCTCACACTTATCTCCTCTGACTTGATTATTTATTTTCCTCCATATTTAGCTAAAAAAAATTCCATTGCGATTTGAATTTTATTGTTTTCTTCTAATAATAATTAAAGTATAGGAAATTAACTTGTCCCTATGGATTCAACCCCTAGAATACTTCACATAATTTTATTATTACGATCGATTCTATATACTTGTAGAAATCGTGGATCATTGTTAATTACTATCCATTTCCAGTGTCACAATTGTTCATAATGTGGATTAGCACAAAAGGAGTGAATAACACGGGATTACTTTGAAGTTTGAACTTTATTGGAGTATGCATGAAGAATTTCTCCTATTCAATGGAAAGGAGTCTAGTCCATTCTATTTGCACCTGAGTGCAAAAAAGGGATTTTCAAAATGGACTTCCAAATATTTCAGAAATTCAATAATAGCTTCAAAGGATGTTCAAGATTTTCTTCTATCACAACCTAATTTAAATAAGGAGTCCATCACTTGAAAACTGTTGGTGATTTCTACTTATATCTTTATAATACTTTCGATTTTGTACTTAATTCTCTAAACTAAAGTGGAAATTTTTTGTGTTTCTTCTGGTTTGTTTGTAATCAATATTGGCCAATGCTTATAGGTTTTACAGTTAACCATGGTCAAGATAATTGTCACAAATGCCAAAAGTAATAGCACCTTGTGGAGAAGATTCTAACTCACCAACCAAACATGAGTGGATTTGAAAGAGTAGAAAACCTGATGGTGTTTCTTGTATAACCCTACTACTTCAGCAGGAGCTAAATGCTGGTGATGTTCTGCCAAATATAGTTTGGTGCTTGAATCTCCACCTGTACAATTATTTTGCGTCCAGCCAGAACATCGACCAGGGACAAAAGCTCCAATAATGTTGTGCCAATACAAAGTGTTTTATTAGAAATTTGGGATCATATTTATCGTATATTTAATTCAATTCACATATTATTTCATCTAAAAATTTCTAGTTGTAATTGCTTAAACTTAAAGGACCATAATGATTGAAACTCAAATTATTAGGGAGCTGAGTGATATTATGAGAAAATTCAGTTGGATTAGCATGATTTGCATTCTTAAAAAAAAAGTAATAATATTGATTAACAACTAGAGGTCTTACAATTCATTCCACTTCATTCTTCAATTATTGAATCAAAGCATAGAAACTGAATTTTAAAAAAAAAGGCATAGAAACTGAATAAAGTTCGACAAATGTTATCTTTCACTTTGTTGCATCTTCGGAGTGGAATAGAGCTAAGCATGGCCGCTGCTGAATAATATGTGAACTTTTACTTGCGGAGGAATCTCTCAAACCAGTAAGAAGAGAGCTTACGGAATCTTTTTAAGGTACTATAGTCTACATAATTGATTCCAAAACGGACACTATATCCAGCACTCCACTCAAAATTGTCAATAATTGCCCATCCATAGTATGCCATCACTCTAACGCCATTTCTACATTTATATAAAACACAAAAATGAACAAAGTTTAGTGAAATAAAGCCCCATTAATGGGTTCAAAATATAAAGTTTAATTAACTTGACCAAGTAATTTGTTTAATGATTTTCACTGACGTATTAGGAGATACTCACTTGATTGCTTTTCGGACATACTGAAGGTGCTGATAGTAGTATCGGATTCTAAAGCTGTCTTGAAGAGCTTGCTTAAGTGGTAATGTGGGATTATTTACTTCATCAACCCCTGAAACAATAAGATATAAATTGAGATTAATGTACATTGGTAGAGTAACATGTAGGAATGCATGTGGTATCAATTATTCTTGTGATTTGATGAAAATTACATAGAAGAAGAAGAAGAAGAAGCCAAGTTGAAGCAGCCTGCATAGTCAATTTCGAAATTTGCATGGAGTTATACAAAATATTTTCAAAATATCAATTGATTTATTAAAATTCAACAGTTGGAACTTGGTAGATATAATATAATTGTACGCTATTAAAAGATTTGAATTACCTGTGCGCCAATGAGCTTCCCATTGCGGCTCGCTGACATTATAGTGCGCAACATTAAGTTATTCAAAATTTAATAATAAAAATAAATAATGAATAAATTTCTGGTAAAATGTTTGCAAAATTTGAAGCTATATATCCTGCAAACTGAACTAAACTCACCTGTAACGTTAACTTGCGGGTCTGTGCTATAGCTTAAATTCACCTTATTTGGAGGAGTTGTAACATGGGCAGCATAACTAGCTGTGTAGTAATTTAATCCAAGAAAATCATATGACCCTATCAGTTCTTTAGATTGCTTTGATGTAAATTTGGGAAGTCGGTCGCGGGCAAGAATTCTCATTGAAGCGGGATAATCACCATATACCAAAGGGTTCATAAACCTGTAACACATGCCAATAGAAAATAGGTGTCAATATCTAGCCAAGGTAATCATTGAATGTAGTGTTTTATTGAATAGGTGATAGCTAGGTACGCATGCACTCTTTTGTTGTTTTTGGCTAACCCTGTTTACGGGGACGGACACCACTCCAAAATTTATTCATAGAACGTAATTTTACAAGAGGAGTGTGAGAACCCGTATTTTTTTTCCCATTTTTTAGGTTTTATTATTTTCCGTGGCATGTTTTCTGCATTTTCGTGAGTAGGAAAAATTTTAGATAATTCTAAGGGGCAGATATAGTTTTTAGATGATTTTTCTCGTATCAAATGGATTTTGAGAAATTAATAGCGTATACCGGACGTGGGACCCACTAGTGCGAAAAGTTCGGAAAAATTCGGCCAACTAGGTTAAGTTTTGAATACTGGAATTAATTTACCGGGTGTTAAGAGATAAGTAGAGGGTGCTAAGTGGATTGATATAAGAGAGACAAGGTTGGTGAACATTTATTTAAAAGGTGACAAGTGTCACCATAAGAGTTAGTCTTGTCATTTGACCACTATTCATGCCTTTACCAAATTAATATCAAAATTGACCAAAAAATTCACCATTTGTTTCTCTTCTTGGCCGACTTCTTTCAAGCACAAAGGAAAGAAAACTCTCCACAATTTTGGTCTCCAACCTTGCTCAATCTCCAACTTCAACCGGTTAAATTTGTAATTGCTCCATAAAACTCCTCCACTTAGTGATTTTGAGGTGATTGGTGAAGTTATTTGGAAAGTTAAGGTGACCAATAGCTCTCTCTCTCTTGTTTCTAAGGTAAGTTGTGAAGAACCACCCTCCTCCCTTAATTGATGCTTAAATCAGGCTTAGTGGTTGTATGAGATGCAAAGTTATGGGTTATTTCTTGATTTGTGGTTGAAGTGATGAAGTTTTATTATTTTTGGGGATTTTTCTATTTTAATATAAGCATGATTGTGTGGCTATCTATGATGATTGGAAATGGCATATAAGGCATCTAGAAGGTGGAAAAAGTGGAAGATTGCAAGTAATTTCTGTTTTGGAAGAAAATTGAAAAACCTAGGGTTCATGAAGCTACATTCTGCCCGAATTTTTAGGTCCTAGTTAGAGGCCGAATTGGCCTTGGCTTAAAACATGAAAGTTGTAGGGAATGACATTTTAGAGGTGTCTACAAAATTTCAGGTCAATCGGAGTAGCGTAGAGTGAGAAAAGTCGAAATTACTATTGCTGTTCTGGTTTTACCCGAATGTAAGAATTGCGCCTGTAATTGGTTGTTTTGGCTGGAATTGTTTCCGAATTGGTTGTTGAGGCCTTCTGATGAAATTTAGCCCTGTTTCTTAGATTTCAGTTGGTTTTGGAATTTCTGGATTTGGACTTGGAGAGCCTGAGTTATGATGTTTCCGCTAGAATGCGTTTTGGTGAATATGTTTTACGTTTTTGATGTAGTATCTTGCATTTTGACCTGTTTTCACTCAAAAATGGGTTGAGTGACCTTCTGTGATGTTGTAGCCCTGTCTTTTAGCTTCGAAATGGTGGGTCTTGCACCCTCATCCGATAATCGTAGTGAAATTGGTGCCATTACCGCAAAATGAGGACAAAAACTGTTTTTTTCAGGGCCAAAGCTAGTTACATTTCCGAAATTTCTGGTTTCCTTTAATGTTCGTATATGCTTATGGAACCCTATTGGGGTCATGTTTGGCCTTGGTTTATGACTCGTTATCGAGTCTAATTGTATTTTTTTGCATGTTTTAGGACGTGACCGTGGTGCACAACGTTCTTTTGACGGAAGTGCATGAAACCACATTTGCTAGCTTGGTGAGTGTACTACTCACTTGTGTGCTATTATATGGCTTTGATATTTGAACTTGAGATGTTGAATGTTAATTGATTGAAGTGAGAGTGTACTTTATCACTCTCACTTATTGTTTCGCATGTTATTGAAAAGTTATTGGAATTGTATATGAAATGTTATATGAAATGAAATACATGATTTGGTGTCGTTTGGACGAGTCTCCAACGACTACAAATGTTCTCAATGAGCTCAACCCCATTGGTAATTGATTGAATCGAGCCGGCAAGGGCTTGGTCGTGACAATTAATGAGCCTTGGGTAAAGTTATAAGGAATCTTGTAGTATGAGAGACTCTCGATTCCGGTATACTCGAGTAATATCAAAGTGCAAGTGTTTGGAGTTCGGGCCCGGTAGGGGTATGTTGGGTGGAAGGAATGGAAGTAAAGTGAAGTCTACGGTTGGTTACTTTCAAACATTGACGGAGAGTCAATGAGAAGATGATCTGATCAAGAATGCAAACGAGGAAAAGGGCTCTTGAGAGCCGTCCGTATCTTTTTATCACCATTATTGTGTGCCTGTGTTTACTTTTGATGAATTGAAATGAAAAGTTTTATGCTCATGTGAACTTTGCTGTTTGAGTGGTATTATCTCACTGGGCGTAAGCTCACCCTATTCCTTTTGTTTTCCTTACAGGAAAATAAATACTTTTGGACTGCAATTGATAGTTGGTTGCCGAATTGAGCTAGTTGGACATATCTTTTGTATAGCTCATTGATTGAAACCCTAAATGTACTTTTGGGTCCATTTCTCTTTTGATTTGGCAAACCATCCATGTATCCACTTTTGAATACTTTTGTATGCCACTTTGGATTGTAAATGCTAAATTTCAAGATGTGAATGTTTGCTTGATATTTGGTTGGGGTCTGACGGGTCAGTTACTATTCATGGCTGACTCCGATTTCATTTTTTTTTTATTATTTTGACATTTTGACTTGTTTACGCGCGTTGTATGTTCCGGAACGCAATAGATCGCTCTAACTGCACCGTTAGTCCTGGCGAGAGTTGGGCAGGCAATCCGCTAACCCCTTTGGTTCGCCTTAGGGGAAAGTGGGGTTGTCACAAGGAGCACAAGACGTTTCCTCATGTTGAATATAAAAATTTTAAGAAATCTTGATCTTTCTAACAGAAAGCATTCCTAATATTACACGAGAATATTAATCTGTGTACGTGGGGCATTTCTATAGGTAAGTGTTAAAATGGGGACTAATACAAGAAGTTAACATCCTACATAATTATAGTATGTGGCTATCTAATTTGTAAAGATGGTGAAAATAAAGGTTATTCCAGTCTTCAAAAACTCTTTGACATGCAGTAACTAGTTTAGCAAGCAAGTGATAAATTGGTCTTCAGTAAGAGAGTTTTGAGGTGTTATTACGAACAAAAACAATATATTTTTGAGTGTTCACATTCATATAATATTTTTATTTAAATTAGGTGCTCCATTGGGTGCTGGCTGCGCACCAATTGGGAAAAACACTATGGTCAAAGAGAATTTTACATTGGAAGATTAGGTATCCATTGGAAAGACGTTAAAGTAATAATAATAATAATAATAAATTGCCAAGTGAAGTTTTAAAATTGGAAGTTAGATGCTTGGACAAAATCATGTTGAACTAGTACAACTTAATTGTATTTAAGCCGAGAGAGCCTTCGATTTCCTAAAGCCTCAATGAGGGCCCAAAAAACTTCTTATTTTTTTCGAAAGGGCTTTTTTTTTTTTTTTCTTTTCTGAAAGGCCATTTATATACATACTTTGTTAGCTATCTTCTTCATCAAACGTTTATTGGTACACTTACCATCCAAACATGAAATCAAGGGCACGAATGGCTGCTCGTTGATCAAGAGGTGAATTTAAAAATGGCACCATCCATGCAGTGACTAGTGTAATCCCAATTTGTCCTTTTTGGAGAGCCTAAAACATATGCACAATTCAATTAGTAATAGTAATTATGGAACTCAATATTGATTAGGATCAAATTCTATGTTAGTTTGAATTAGAAGTGCAACAATAACCTGATACACTCTCCTGTATAATTTAACTACATCAGCATGAGCCAAAAGTTGGTGGTGTGCCACCAAGTAGGGTTCTGTCCCTGAATTTCCACCGGTGCAGTTATTATTCATCCAAGCAGAACATCGACCAGGGGCAAAGGTTCCACTATCATAACCATTTGAACTAAAGGTCCAAGGTTCATTGAATGTGATCCAATCTTTCACTCGATCACCAAACCTCGCAAACAGTAGATTTGCGTAGTCATGAAAATCCTTTCTGGAAAGTATAAAACGTCATCAAATCCAAGAGCCAAAAGCATATTGACTCTTACAGTACATAGAACACTATCATTTGATTGCATAAATGATTTCTTGGGCTGAATTTGATAGAATAGGGCAAGTGAAGGTTGTCTTCTATTTGGTTCCAACCAGTTGTTATATTTGCTATAATATTTAGTGTGCGCAGAATCATGTTTTGCTATACTGGATATATGTGGAATAAACAAAATAAACTAAATTGTGTTATGTATGTCTATTTTTGCTCCTTTTTCGTTTTCCTTTTTTTTTTCAAAAATAAACTAGTTTGTGTTGTATATGTTGCTTGTTATCACTTCTAGACTAAATTATCACCCATGTTTAGAGTTCATTAATATCAATTAGGTTGTGATAGTAATATTATAGGAAGAGGGATCTTGACTTACATAATTTTAGGACTCACGAAGCTTCCATACTCTTCATCTAAGGCTTGGGGCAAGTCCCAGTGAAAAATTGTCACAATTGGCTTTAAACCTGTGCATTTCATATTTCAAAGATGTTGAATTAGATGATGAACACACCAAATGATCAAGATCATATGGTCTTAAAAAGCATTGGATTTTTATATACCATAAGCTAGAATTTCGTCTATGAGCTTATTGTAGTACCCAATTCCTTTCTCATTTATGCCTTTGCTAATCTTGCCATCTGCAAATCATTGTATAGCTTAGTAACAATATAATATATTCCAATTTGGGTAAAATGGGTAGATAATAAACCGTCGCTAGATAAAGGTTTACATAGTGAGGCCTTACAAGGTATTACTCTAGGCCAAGAAATTGAAAAGCGATAAGAATCTGCATTCATTTCCTTCAAGAGTTTGATATCCTCCTGTCACATGAGAAAGATAGCATTGTAGACGTAGTTCAATTTTTTTTTTGTGGCAATGATTGTAGTCAACGTAAATAAACAAAAATAACTGAATTTTCTTCTTTTTTTTTAAATAAGGTATATTTTTTGCGGGGCTTGTTGATTTTTGTGCCCTATTTTTCCATGTATGATATTTTCGCTTTACTATTAACTTATTTGAGCAAAAAGATTTGGTTTGCATTACCTTATATCGATGGTAGGAGTCTGCTGCCACATCTCCGTTACTACCATTTGAAATTTTACCTGTAGTTTCAGAATGGAGTTGGTCAGACTAGGCTATTAGTTTTGATAATTTTTTTTGGGCAACAATTTATTGGGATATGCTGAAAAAATTGGAGAAGGAAGAGTGGTAGTGCGAAACTTAATAGCATAGAACTGATTAATAATTAATAGGATAGATGGACCAATATATTAATAGCAATATTAAATTCTCAAAGTATACGTTTTTCATGTAAATAACTTGCCCAAAATTAAATGCCTTTAAGCCCTTGGCATTTTCACAGTGTTTAATCTATATCCTTGACCAAATTTGGTCATTTGAAGTATTAGAAGTGGTTCACATCTGAGCAAACTATAATGTGACCTTGTGTAAAAGGTTAAACGTAACCACTAACCCATAATGCTTAAATCAAATTTTAATCACTTAGATGTGATTAAGTAATCTAACTCCTATTTGACCACCGAGAAAACAAGTTGAACCACTATCAAACAGTGTCGTTAAGATCAGAGAAAATATGGGTGGATCAAAATGATTGTTGACCATGATTGTATATGTTATCTTTCAATTCTGTTATGCAATGTATATATTCTGAAGTAATGAAGATCTGTGCATCAAAATGACTGTAAACCTGGGAATTTGTGAGTGAAAACATCCCAGTTGCTTGGACCTTTGCCATCAATGTTCCAAGCGCCTTCAACCTGTAAAAAAAAAAATTGAGAAAATCGTAATTATTCTCAGCGTTGCAATATTTGAATCCTTATTTCACTTCTAAACTTTTAGGAATGCTTACGGAGGAGGGAAAAAAAACAAAAGAAGGAGAAACATAATAAGAACTTTTTAGAGATAATTTAGTGATGGTAATGTTGTCCGATCGATGATTCCCTCTCTTACCTTCCAATACACAAAAATTTAATAATTAAAAAAAATGAGGTACTATAACTAAATAGGACGAGATAAAATGAAGATTGAGAAAAATTATGGTTTGACCTCTTAAGCATAACAAATATTTTAGAACACCTAGGAATGAGAAGCATAACTGACTTAATGGGAACGAAAGCTAGAGTCTAGCATTACAATAATGACCTATTGAATGAGCACCTGAACTACATGCTTCTAATATCAAACTGCATACTCTAGTTGTGGATATTCTTAGCTTAAAAGTTTTGTTTCATATGTGCTCTTTTTGTGCTATATCTAAAAATAATAATCATGTTAGTTTTAGAGTTGGTGATTATGCGTTAGACATTATACATGATAAGGAATGGATCAATCCTTTGTGCTGTTGAGCACTTTTAGTAAAGAAATGAGGGCCTTTGACGGTGGTTTTTACTATCAATGCAAGTTTAATTCCGAATTTACACCCGTTGGACTGCAAGTATACAGGTCACAATTGTAGTACAAGATGTGTATCGGGTCGATCCCACGAGGAGCAATTTAAACAATTACTAAGCCCTTGTTTTCTCTATTATTTAGATTGACAATTAAATTGAGCAGAGAAAATATAATGCTGTAATCTACAAACCTGATCTACAAATCTAGTTTAACAAATGCTGAATGCAAATAGCGAAATTTCACTTAAGGAAGATTCTAGGGATGTAGATTTCACTTATGGCAATAAACAACACAAATTAATGGATTTACTTCTTGCTATTATTGACGTGCGCGGGGTATACATATAATATTAAGCTCATCCCAATCAAGTTTTACATTTATAAATTCCTAAATACCCCACACGCGATTTATCGCAAGTATACGAATCGTGAGCGAGTATAGGGTATTAAGGGTCGATCCCACAGGGAAGAATGCAATTACCGATGTTTTCAAACTCCTTTATTATTTAGACTACCACAAATATAAAATTTAAGAAAATAACACTAGAAAGCTCCTAGAGATATGGAATTCCTTACTACTCTTGCAAATGAGATTATCGGTTAAGTGAATGCTATTATCTTGACTAGTTATGGCGTAATTCCTAATGTATGTGAAACCTACTTTCGTAGTGAATCAACTATACTTGTAATTAAGCCATACCTACTCTCGTGGTTATGAAATTAACTACAAGTTCATTTCTTCTATGAAATTACATGAAACAAGTCACTTAAGCCACATAGGTGCACCTCTACTCTCGTGAGTGTACTCCCTAGGCTTATCACTTCTTTGAACTAGTGTTAAATTCCAATTTTCATTGCAAACTTAACACCTTAAGATTATCATAATTAATGGCCAGTTAATCATGATTAGATAACCAAAAGTGATAAATAACGTGCTCAAAATAATATCACCAAATAACCAAGTAAACCTCACAAACAAAATATAGCAAGTTCAACCATAACTCTAGGCATAAACTTTAACTAAACATAATAAAAACACAAAGCCAACTTGTATTATAATTAAACATGAAATCCAATACAAGAGAGAAAGTAGTAGAAGAGATATCACCCTTGTCACATGAGATCAACCTCTTCATCTTTGCCCCTCCAATATTCATCCAAATCTAACTACAAATACAAGATGGATAAACTACTCTACCTATACTATACTAATGAACCAAGGAAACTCTAGTGAAAACTACATTTCTGGTGAGTTTCTCTAGCCTTCTCCCCAGTTCTTTTAATCCTGTAAGTCCATGGCTATATATAGATGAATGCAATCAGGAAATGAGGCTTGAAACCTCCCTTTTACAGCTGCTAATTGGTTGTCATACGTTCATCCATAGCTGTAAATTGTTGAAGGAGAAAACAGGTTGTACCAGCAGCTATTTCTGACCAGAATCTGGCTACTTCAACTGCTATTTTCTCTATGATTACGGCTGAATTAGCTCTTGTACAAAACATAGAAGTTGTAGTCCATTGAAACAGCTGTCCCATGCCTCAAGAATCATCCAATTTGGAGCTGTCTAGACCGAGATATGATAAAATTACCACTGACTGGTCAATTCCGCGTTTTCAGCTCTCAGCAGCAGACTTTGACTTCTGTATTTTGACATTTTGACCATGAAAACAGCCGAATTGGACTTTGATGTCTTCATACCAAATGCAGATATATCTCTTAGCTTCAAAATGGTACCAAGATCACCTTGATCCGATCATTGTAGCTCCTGATATAGTCAAAATACGAAAATGTGTCTGAGTTGTCAAAGCTGACTTTTCTTGATTTTTGTCCTCAAATTGCATTTCTTCCTTTTACACTTCATATTTTATTTTCACCATTTTAATCCATCTTCAATCATCCAAATATTTTCTCAATGCACTTCATTTGATGATTGAATCATTAGACCTACAAAATATGAAGTTTTTACCATAAAAATCAATAGAAATGCAATTTTCACACTTTAACCACAAAATGCATATTTTCACTAGAATCTTAGTTAATTATTTATAAAACTAAATAAAACACACCAAAACTAATTAATAAAGCACACTAAAAGTACGTAAAATATACTCTTATCAATTATTCTTGTTTAACCAGAGATTCATTTCCAAAATTACCAAGTCTAATTTTCATGATGAAATGGCCTAGAGCAATATAGATTTCCCTATTTTCATGGTGAAATACTACTACTACTCTGTTTTATTTCATGAAATGCTAAATAATCCACCTAAGTGTATCTCTATTTTCATGAACATACAACTCAAGCTCTACTCATGTGTTTCCATTGTTATTACCAATCCTCATTGAACAATAACAACTAATAACAAGCTATTGGTGATCAATCAACAACAAGTAATCACAGCTACACAAGTAGACAAGTTAATAAAAGATCTAACAAGTGTACATCACCTTCAATTCATATTATTTAGCCATAAGTTTCATCTACTCCCTAGATAAAGAAAATTAGCTACTCATGAATGATTTAACAATCAAACTCACAAGTTTATTAATGCAAAACATCATGAAGTACAAGTATAAGAAAGGTAAAAGAAAGCTTAGCAAATTGAAGGTAAAGCTCTCCAATTCCTGCTATGTTCTTGTACAAGATGGTTACAAGTGAAACTCCAAAATGTTTCTCTAAGAACTCTTAGCTAGAGAGAAAACTTGTTACAAGAAGGAAAACTAGCTACCTCTCTTTTTTTTTTGCTTCTCCTCTGTGTTTCTGCATAAAAGGTGGTAGAAAGTCTATTCTTTTTCCTTCATAATTTCTTCCACTCAGATTTTGTAAAAAGAAGTCAAAGATATGATGTTTCTTTCTTTTCTACACTCATTTGGTCTTCTCTTTTGTTGCAGAAGCATGTGCCACCGATTTCTGGCCCTCAAAATAGCTGGAAAAGTTGTGAGAAAGGTAAAGAAAAATGGCTGTGCCACTTGCTGAGGAGAGAGACAGATCCGAGCCTCTGATCCGAGGGCTGAAAATTAATCCGAGCTCGGATCAGTGGATCCGAGGACTTCCCATGATGGATCCGAGGTCGGATCGTCCTGACCTCGGATACACTCCGCCAGAAATACAGACGAGGGCTCGGATCCCTCTTGTACACACGGATCCGTGCTCGGATCCGTGTTGAGTAATTTTCCAGTTTTTCACTTCTTCCCATTTTCTACATTTCTGCTCCCAATTTCTTGTGTACTTTGTCCTCTGGATAACCCTTACATTTCTTTCAGCTTGTGCATGAATTTCATACATCAATAACCTTCACAATTTCACCAAATTAACGCATTAATCCACTCATTTATCAAGTTTTGAACATTTAAACAAAATTATCACCAAAAAGAGTCCAAATATGGCTTTAATTTTTCTCAAACATACCAAAAATTCATGCCAAATTTGTACAAAATGTACGTTAAATATTCACTTATCAAATTCCCCCACACTTGAATCATTGCTTGTCCTCAAGCAATTTTACACAAAACTTCAATGATTTAATAAATAAATCAATACACGTATTTTTGTCAAATTTAATTCCTCAAAAACCTAGAAACCAATCATTATGCCATTTCTCAGATTACACTAAATACTCATAATATTCAATTAAATAAAAATAATTATGCCTTAATTTCAACAAATTCAAATCAATTTTCTCATTCTATCCTAATTCCATAAATAAGTAAATCACATAGTTAATTTTATGGCCTTCCTCATCCCAAAACTTAACAATTTAGAGGGATTTATTCACATTTCATCTTATTTAAATAGTGAAAACATCTTTTTACGCGAAAATCAACACTTTTAGGTGAAAATTCCCGGTTACTAAACATTTCACTTATTTAAATTGCTAAGCATACTCTTAATTCCAATACCTTTTTACGCGAATGTCGACATTTGTAAATGCCAACCCCCGGTTACTCAGTATGTGAATCATTGGAGTAGAAAATTAATAATAATATATTTTTATTTATTTATTTATTTATTTATTTATTATTATTATTAATTTTTTTTTTAACAATCAATTTCTTTTTCCCTCTAAATATAATTAAAGGAAGAATTTGGCCTTGTTTTTGACTATATCAATCACTTACTTATAAAATTAAGTAAAAATGAGAAATATCATTAATCTTGCAAAATTCTAAGCATAATTTTTCTTATTTAACCAAATATACTTTTTTAAAATGTAAAAAATCCTAATTGCATAATAACTCATTCCAAGTCAAATAAGAACTAAACTTGTCCAAAATACACATATCATTTTATCCAATGGAAGAATTAGATACTTAAAATTTTAACATTTTGGCCATTTAATTGGAAGATTTGCAATGAAATATTGGAAAATATTTTAGAAAAAATTTTGATAGAGTTTCCCCATAAAAATGGATGAAATTCCCTGCCAACAACCTCAATTTCACAAAAATTATCCTCATGACAATATCTCCAAATATAATTCCAACATTTTTAAGCCATAAACAACTACAATCATGCATTTCAAGACACAATCACCCATAAGATATAGTAATCCCTCCCCCACACTTAAAATCTACAATGTCCTCGTTGTAGAGGAAGGTAAAAGAACTGAAACTTCTCTCAAATAGGTGGTGATGCAATTTGAAGCCCTTAATCATCACGATCATCCAAATTCTGCCCAAAATGAGACAACAAGGGTACCAAACACCATAAGTAGCACAAGATGATTCAAATAAAAGAAAACTCAAATCACAAAGTTTGTCTTAACAAAAGAAAAGAAAAATAAAGAAATAAAAGAGCTAATCCGCTAAAGAGCATCATGGCTGCTCGGAACGAGGGTTTACTGCCTCCTCGGCTCCATGAGGACCATGTGAGGTACCAATATGGCCCTCCTCCTGATGAGGTGTCGGAGTAGGGGACCGTCGGATATGGAAATGATCCTCGATCGCACGAAGACGGCGATCATGTCGGTCGAGGCGCTCAGTCATCATCCGCTCCGTCTGGTCAATGCGCTCGACGACTCGCGTCTCCATACAGCACATGGCATTGAGGAGCTCTTGCCACTTGGAGCGCGGTTGAGGAGGTAGTCGCGGAACCGGAGGAGGAAGAGTCTGCTGTGCCTCCGTCTTTTGAGTTTCTGCTTGTGGTTCAGTGTGAGGCGGAGGTTGAGTGGAAGTCGATGCTTCTCCTGTGTCCCGGATCAAAGCAGCTCCAAAATCCGTAGAAATACCCAAAGCCTTGAGTATAGAAGCATTTACCTCCTCGGCAGACCTAGTTACCACCGCTCTCTCGGTTCCAAGAGGAACCTTGAGCTTCTCAAAAACGAGGGATAGCAGTCGAGGGAATCCGAAGCAAGTCTCGCCGGCCCTCATGCGAGCTGTGGTCCGCATATAGCTGATGATAATGCTGGGTAGAGGAATACCGTCAACTGCGCACCCACACCATGCATCATCTTGTCCAAGAAGTAGAGATCACTGTTGCGGAGCTCCCGTTTTCCACTTCTTTTTGGTACCATATTGAAGGCAAAGAGGTAGAAAATCAAGTGGTACCTATGCTCGAAGGAATCGGCGTAAACTGTAAGCTTCTTCGCAGTTCCTCTCTCTCGATACTGGCCCTTTAGGCGTCCAACCGCCTCTCCCACCTGCCAAGGGTCTCGAGCCGTGAACTCCTTGGTCAATTTGACATCTTCGCCTGCGTCTTTGAGTTGGACGAAGCGTCTCAGTGTATCTCGATTGAGAGCCACTCTCCTGCCTCGAACCCATGAGACGATGAGGTTGCCACTGTGGCTCTGTTTGTTTTCTACATTAGCGTAGAACTCCCGGACCAGATTGGGATAGTAGTGTTTGGGCAACTGAAGGATGTTCTCCCATCCAAGTCTCTTGAATGCTGTAGAAATGTGATAATACGCGTCCACCTCCGGTGCCAAATGCTTTTCTATTATGATCTCCTTGTCCAGTCCGGCTTCATACCACTGTTGGTTTTCAAGCGATGTGAATCGTGTGGTATCGTAGTCCGGAGGTGGCTCGGCACGGCTAGTAGACGCGGTCTTCCGGCGAGAGCGAGGTGGCGGCTCCGGCGAAGGAGATTCTTCCTCAGGTGACTCCTCATGCAAAGAGGGTGTGTG